AAGCTGTTTGTGCTTTTTGTGTGTAGACCAGTGCTTTATAATGCCACTGTCTGATCTAAAAGGCCCATACAAGTCTTTTGTCACGGCATGGTTTCAAATAGGTGCCTATGTAATTAGTTCCAAATGGGGGAGTGTAGTAAGCTCAGGGAGTTGTAAACTATGAGATGGTGCAGGGAGGATTTCTAAATTGTTCAACTTTTTTTGCAGTGTTTAGTGATATTAGCCTTGTTAAGTTAGAGCAAAATGTTTTGATTTTGTTGTCAAAAAATCTGTCAAATTAAAAATGTAAAAAATTGCTTTTCCATTTAAATTAGGTACAATCTACATTTGTCTGGGTTGTTATTCAATTTGCCTATTCAACTAAAAATACAAGATGGAACCAGTATAGTCAGTTTACCTAAGCCTAAACAAAGAGTGATGCATCAAAGATAAAACTTTCAAATGAACTGAAATGAATATAACACCACACTAGAATCGTAAGCGCAGAAGTGAATATCAAATACTATTTCATATCCAGTCTTGCTATATTGTGACTCTAATATTGATTGTACTTTTTCTCTATTTGTATTTGTCTTTTTATCTATTTGTACTGTAAAAAAAAATATTTCTGTGTTGTACTGAGAGCTCTCACTGCCAGCTCAGATATTGTTGTCTTAGTCTGTGTAATCAGAGGTATATTACTTCCTACAACGGAAGCATAGCCAGACTGGACTGCACTGGACTGCTCATGTCTCCGGGTGCTGGACCCCGTATTGATAAAGTCAATAAACTTCTCCTATGTTAGAACTCCAGCGTCATGCCTTTATTCTACAACAACCTTGGGCACCATTGCTTGTTAAAGTTCTATATCAATATTGACCCTGAACTAATAATTTATTGAGTTTAATAATCAGCTTGGAACGGAGATGAAGAGTGTAATGAGTTTACAGCAAGCGGGTTTATGATCACTTTTCATAACTTTTATACTAATAATATCTTACATGCTAACGTGCACTTCCTGACAATTTATTTATGATTAGAGGACCTTTTGATCTCAAGGGCTGCTCATACAATACATCTGTGCTGGGGCAAGACTATACCGGTAATATGGCTTGAATATATGAGAGAAAATTGGGTAAAGGACCTTTAATGAATACTACAAGATAAAAAATACTTGTATGCATTTTTCTTTAACCTTCGAGTCATAGCACAGTGCACTGACTATACTGGTTACTTTGGCAGCGACGTTTCCCCTAATCACATGTTCATTTTCTAGGCAGAGTAAACATGGGACAGCTGCATGGATCGATACAACTTCATGTTTCAGTGCATCAGAGGCCAGTGAACAAACATGAGAGAACACAAGAAAGAGCTGACCATCACGTGATCAAACACACCTGGATACATACAACAGAGGACAGATCAACATTTGGATCATTTTAGCCAAATACAGAATAGTCAAACATGTGAAATGACATTTTTGTTTGTTATGGGGAGGGATATTGTGCACTTTAATCATCTAGGTTTTATGTGCTTGTAGTGTAGTGTGTTTGTCTCTTGTGTCCAAGACAACTTTCCTAAGGGAAATCCAATACAACCCAGGATGACAATGCTTTTTTCTATGTACTCAAATACACAATAGCTCATCAAACTTAGACATCTGTAGATATAGAATAACAACAAATATTTAATGCAATTATGGTACCACTTTGTTAATCGGTTGATGGTGTCTTAGTTGACCAAAATTTGTCGTCGACTTATCATTTTATTTATACAATAAGGATCTATAAAGGACAACAGCAGAAATGAGAAGATAGTAAGTTATATCAGTATAAATTTAGTATTTTTGTTGATATTTATATGTAAAACAGGCTTATTAAACTCATGATTCAAAAGTTTAATCTGTCTTTATATAAATATATCGTTCTCTAGTACTTTTTTTAGCATAAATTGTTGTTTGCAGGTGTAGTCTTGTGAATGCAGTTTGGGTCAGATATATTGAGATTTGAAATACTTTTGAGAGCTTTTGCCGTGCCCCCATTTTAGTCATCTAATCAACTGGCAGAACATGTCTTTATTTGACCAAGAATTTGTTTAATCGACTGCAGCCCTATACGTTGTAATAACACCAAGCATGAATCAAGACTTAATTGATTTATCAAGAATGATCAAATAAAGGGTATTAATTAAGTAGTTATTAAGCCTGAATAATAAGTTCAGTGAGTAGTGCTATGATAAAACAAATCCAATACAACCCAGGATGACAATGCTTTTTTCCAAGTACTGTCCCAGGATGACATTGGTCACCTTTAAAAGTTGTCTTGCAAAACCTTTACAACACACACTCTCTCCTTTCATCTGTGGGATTGGAGTCTAACGATTAAACAACCAGAACCATAAATATTTCCACATTAAAAACATGTTATAGTTGGCAATATATTGTAGGAACTTTATGCATTGCAGTGGGCCACCTATGGTATGATATCCTTGCAGGGACATAGCCTATATCAGCAAATGATTAATAATTAATAGAGCTTATTATTTCAAGATGTAAATATATCGTATTGGGTGGGCTTTCAGATCCTAGAATGTGACGGTGCCATAATTCTAGATGGGGGGCAAGAACCATTTTTCTTTATTGCTTTACATCAGGAGTCATCAAACTAAGGCCTGTCAGGCAGCTTTGTCCATCTCCCCCCAGCCCCTCTGCTCCCCACTGCTTGAACTTGCAAGCCTCAAAAGTTATCATGACCTATTTTTTTTATTACTTTTTGGCAAATAATAACATGTCTGCATCTTGTATTTTGTTGATTTTTTCAATTAAAAATTATATTCATATGAAGTATTTATATTTATATTTAAATAATTATATGACATGTTTACATTTGTCACAGAATTTGCCACAGAATTTTCATCACCTGTTTACATATACTACTGATTTTGATTCCCATTATTCTGTTGTTCTGCTTTAGTTTTGACCTGTAAATGGCCTACTGCTCATTTCATTTCACCTTGACCTAAAAATACTCACCTGGATAGATATAAGAGCTGGCAGGTTGATCAGTTACTCGTTTTAAAAATTATTATTTTTGTATGTACAGGCTTATTTATTTGATTTTTATTAAGTGCTGCACACAAATATTATTAATACAATTGTTATTAATATTATTATTGTTGGCATCATCAGGCCTACCTACAAGTTGTTATTTTCCACTCTCCTTTACCTCTGTCAATCACCAGATGTTTCTTACCTTGACAGTTTCTTCCCTTGATATTTCTTCCCTTTGATTTTATTGTTATTAGAAAATAAAGAAATGGAATATCTGTGGTATTTCAAATTAAAAGAAAGTGTGAAGTACTTAGTACTTTTGCAAACCACCAGTAACGATAAACAAATATGTGCCAGGAATTATGTGTTGATATAGAGTATTGTGGATGCCTGTGCCAGGCTTGTCATTTCTACTACACAATGAGGCCTGTTGGTGTCATTTTGGTCTGGGTCATACAATTCTGTTATACAGCCTACCTGACCCTGGCCTCCCATCACAGTCACAATAATGTGGCCCCCAGAGAAAAAAGTTTGGTGACCCCTGCTTTACATTGAATTATTCTCATAAGAAATATCCAAAAGATGAATTCACAAAAGTTGAATGTGATCAGTACTATTCGTACCAGACCTTAAATCAGCTTTTTAACAGTGACGCTTTTTGCTGCCAATATTTGCTATGCTTATTATTTATTATTATTTACCTACTAAAATAAAATGATTGATCATTATAAATCTTCTTTTGAGGTTGAAAGAAATTGGATATGCTTTGACAACAAGATTTAACCATAACAGACCGTTATCATATATTATTACAATATAAAAGCATCACAGAACATTCAGCAGTAAACATTGATATCACACTTTTATCCGGGAGGGGGCAGTAATGTGCAGCTAGTCCTCAATTAGACCCGGAAGTGTTTTACTTCACTTGCCAATACATGTGATGCTAACTATGCTAATGGCTACACAGCAGTAACAAGTGCTCTGTTTTTACTTTACGTTTCAACAAAATGTCACAAAACACCGACGACAACAACGAAGGACTGAGTGCACTGAAGGAGGAGATGAATAAGAAGGTAGAACTGTAGAATCAGTCGCGTAATTAACACGTTTGTGATGACAGAAGCTAAGCGTAGTTGTCTTTTTGAAGTTTTATCTACCAAAATAATAAGAATGTTTACTTGTTTATTTTAGATCAAAGAACAAAAGATTGTCATTGACGAGCTGTCCAATTTGAAGAAAGGCAGGGTGAGTAAAATTGAATATGTATCCATACTGAAGTGTAATGTAATAAAAGTAAAGTGTAATAATATCTGTAATACATGACAACTAGATATGTTACAGTTTTTCTGTAACAGTTTGCAGTAACAGCACACAGTTCTTCTACCCTTATCGTCTTAGAGTAAACTTGTATTTTTGGTATTTTTCTGATCTATTTCTTAATCTTATCTTGACTTATACACTTGTAACTTTAGGGCAAGTCTCAAAGTCTCACATGGCACATTGGCTATATTCCACATATGAAGTTTGATTCGGTTGTTTAAATATCATTCTATCTTCAAAATCTGCCCTTCCTGGGCGACAGTAGCTCAGTTGGTAGAGCGTTTGTCCACTGATCCAAAGGCTGGCAGTAAGAATCCCACTCTCGACATAAACATCAATGGTTGGTGGTGTGATTCCAGCTCCCACAGAAGAATACTGTCATTGTGTCCTTGGGCAAGACACTTAACCTACCTGCGTACCTGCGTACACTTGTGTATGAGAGTGTGTGTGTGTGTGTGTGAATGGGTGAATGGGTCCTTATTAAGCGCTCTGAGTGCCTTGAAAAAATGTGACTGTGTACCGTGCCTACTTCCCACTACCTACTTCCGTTTATATCCTTTGATTTCTAGAAAAATCACTGTTCACTTATTTATAGTGAAGCTTTATTTGAATGATAATGAAAGCTGTTTTTTTTTTTTGTCCTTTGTTCTCAGAAAGTTTACACACAACAGCGTAACAGCAACATATTTTTCCTTGCGGACAGAAGCCAGACTCTTAGCTCATGTAAAAGTAAGTATTAATCTATTTAAATAGTTTGTTATTTACAGTCCTGTATAAACTATGGCAGAGCAATATGTTCATAATAACTGAATCATGATCTCACAGATTTATGCTCAAACACACACTTTTCCTCATTGAATCTTTTATTGCTCAGACTTAAGGCTAATGCCGGTTGGAATTAACCAATCGTAGAGAAGTATGAACTCTCAGAACAAGCAGGTGACTTTATGTAGCACTTAAAGGCATAAATGTAGTAAGTACATGAATCTTGATAAAATCAAAATAGATGATGCATAACAATGAATGATATTATTGAAACTGCATTATGCCACTGACAATGACAATAACGCAAGATTATAACATTTTTTAAGCAGATAAGTATTATTAAAAGGCCTGAGCTGCAATTATCAAATAGCAGAATGAACTGATAATTAGCCATAGAAGTTATTCAATTCTTCACAGCTCAAATCTTATCGTATTACAACTAAAATGACAAATGATTGCAAACAAAACGTTCAGGCGATAAATATTGAGCCCAAAAATGTATTGTTCTTTTAATATAGTAATTATCATGACACTGACAAACTTACCCACTCCTTCTATAAACCTTTAAACATTTGACCTTTCCTTCCAACAGAGGAACTGGATATCATGAAGAAAGAACTGCAAGATATCTAGTTCAACTTAACCGGCCATGTGTGGGATTTTCTGTCAGCTGAGCTCTTCATCTGCTCCATCTGAACCAAATGCAGCTGTTTATGAACAATTAAAAAAGCGAGGACCAAATTGCAGCCAAAATCTCACTGTTCAAGGCACAGGTTGTTGTTACCAATGTCTATTTTCAGCTCATGTTCTTCATATGAGAGGGCTGCTAACTCCTCAGCCTATTCAAGACAGCTCTGGAAATGTCCTATTGTGGAATGGGGAGGTTTTCGGAGGCTTGCCTGTTACCCCAAAAGAAAATGATACAACCATTCTTTCTCAACGTCTAGCAGCTTGTAGCAGCTCATCTGAAATACTTGATGTCTTCTCCTCTATACAAGGACCATGGGCATTCATTTATTACCAAAAAGCCGGGGACTACCTCTGGTTTGGACGAGACTTCTTTGGTAGGCGAAGTTTGCTGTGGAAATTTGATCCAGCGGTTAAAACATTCACTTTATCATCTGTAGCAGCTCATAATTTGGAAGATAATTCTTGGAAAGAGGTCCCATCTATTGGTCTATACAAAATTGACCTAAAAACAATCAGCGAAGGTATTACATTTGAAATATATCCATGGAAGACATCAGAAAATGTTGAAAATGATGAAACTACATGGGAAACAGTCCACCGTGAATGCATTGCTATTACAAACTACTCAAGGCTTGTCATACCGTCACCAGTCAGGCCACTGAACATGTCTTTACAGGATACATTAAAAGAAGATGAAATCAAATCTAAAAATCATCTAGATAGTAAGGATTTAACAGAACTACTAGCAAGTTACGACCAAACAAGTGAAGTGAATAGTTTAATTGATGTTTTAAGTGAAGCAGTGAGACGGCGTGTTCAGTCATTGCCTTTTATTGGAGATGCTGAGTCATTGACTAAAGATGAAGCTAATGTTGCTATACTATTTTCAGGAGGTATAGATTCAATGATTTTAACTGCTTTGGCTGATCGTCACATACCAGTCCACGAGCCAATAGATCTACTTAATGTCGCTTTCAAACTACAAGAGCCGAAAGTACAGAAAGTAGCTGGGAACAAGTCGAAAAAGCATAAAAATAAAACGGCAAATACAAATATGGAAAATTGTGAACCGAAATCAGCTACTGGTCCATTCAATGTACCAGATCGTATCACTGGGAAAGCTGGTTTAGAGGAATTGAAAGTTTTGAATCCGAGGAGAAAGTGGAATTTTGTGGAGATCAATATAACACAAGAGGAGCTACAGGAAATGAGGAGAGAGAGGATTTGTCACTTGGTTTACCCCCTGGAGACGGTGCTGGATGACAGCATTGGATGTGCCGTGTGGTTCGCAGCGAGAGGAAGAGGGGTCATCGGAGAGGGCAGTGAGGAAAGGCCTTTCACGTCTAAAGCAAAGGTGAGCATATGTTATTTTTGCATTTATTTCATTCATAAAAGACTAGCAAATGTCAATGTGTAACCACAATGTATTTACAAATCCTCAGATTTACACACAAAACTGAAAAAAAAACTTGAAATTTTAATTGCAGTTGTAAAAATTAATGTTGCCTAACCTTGTACTTTTCTTCAAACTGCATTTATGCTCCTGGATTTGTTTCAGATGTGCAGGTTTTTTATTTGCAATAGTTGAATGAAATACAAGCTTTAACTAAATATTCTTCCCTAATTGTTGGTTCTAGTTAAACATGCAGTGAAATAGTTGTGGTCATGAAATATTGTTATCAAATCAAAATGGCCATTATCAAATCACAAAGACTGCAGTTATTTTAGATAATATATATCCTCTGCAAAGAACAAAATATTCTCTTTCTACAGAAGAATCTTGTACCTGAATGTTTTCAATTACACTTTTTAAATGTATTTGTTGATTCAGTGTTCTCTCAAATGTTAATATGCAATCGTAAATCTTACATCTTACACAACTCTACATATGGTACCATCTTACACGCAATAGACATTAGGCCTGTCAAGATAATTACTATATCTATGTACTAATATATTAAATATTGTAAATATTTTTTTAGGGTCAATATTTATCATGCGTACATATTTGCACTACTGGGAAGGGTTTGGTTATTTTTAAGCCATAAAAGGTTGACTTAATTACTTGTTCTATGACTCAATACAGATCCAAACAAAGTACTTAAGTGTTTCCTTCTGCTAGTTATTTATTGCAGCTCTTTTTTTTTTTTTTTTTTTTACAATATTGTACATTTGGAATGGTTTTTGTGGTTTAAATCTGCTCTTGGGCTTTTATGTCGGTGACATAAATTAGTTTCAATATTATTGTTTATTATCTTTATTTACTTAGAGCAATATATCGAACTTCAAAATGGCCTATACCCGAAAAGATATTTCATTCTCTCTCTGTATAGATCATTGTGACCGGTATTGGAGCTGATGAGCAGCTGGCGGGGTATTCCAGACACAGAGTCCGGTTTAAGACCTCGGGACCTCAGGGACTTCTGGAAGAACTGTCCATGGAGCTGAACCGGATCTCCACCAGGAACCTGGGCCGAGACGACAGAGTGATTGGAGACCACGGCAAAGAGGCCAGGTTAGAGGAACATTTTGTCACTTTTAGCGGGTGTAAAATAGAAACCTGCTCAGTCCATTCAATGTTGGCAAGAAAACCGAAGTCTGTTGGTAGCTGAGATTAGTTTTAGCATGTCTTTTTAAATAAAACTTTGTTCAAATGGGTAACTGTTTTTTCTATATTCCTCTGTATTTTTGTATACATTTGGCCTCAGATTCATAGATATTTAGAAAGAAAAACATGTTTCAACTAAGTATAATTATTTCATTTCCCTGTTATATGCAACAAAAACAGCATCATATATTGTATCTTTCCAAGTAGGACTGCAGTATATATCGAAATAAAACTAAAATCCTAATTTGAGTAGTTGCCATTATCAAATCACAAAGCCTGTGTAGTTTAGACCACTGTAAACATACACAGAAATTAAATGCAAGGAATTATTCTACTAGTTTAGCAGTTCATAATTTAGTCTTTTATTAGCTGTTAATGCTCCCTCAAGCTATTAGAGCAGATACATAAATGTCTGGTTTACTAAGAAGCAGTCTAAACATGTTTACCATGTCTAATTTATCTTCCAAAGGTTCCCATACTTGGATGAGGATGTGGTGAGCTTTCTGAACTCTCTTCCTGTTTGGACTAAGGCTGATCTGTCTCTTCCTCGAGGAGTTGGAGAGAAACTGCTTTTGAGACTCGCTGCTAAACATCTCGGCCTGGGTCAGTCTTCTGTCCTGCCCAAAAGAGCCATGCAGTTCGGCTCCCGTATCGCCAAAATGGAGGACAACCGCGAGAAGGCATCGGACAAGTGCACAAGACTTCTTACTGGATAAACTATTTTATTTACAATCAAGGAGGCACAATTGAATCATAAAAATAGAAACATGATTATAAAAATATTTACTTGTTTTTGGGTATTATGACAGTTACTAATAAAATGTGTTTAGATCATGTAGGATTGAACATCTTGTAATTTTTCTTTGAAGTAAAGGTCACAATCTATGTAGGAGGGCAGATTCCCAACATCAAAACGACCGGAGATTGGATAGACGTACACTGGCTTCCTAAACAACAAGTAAATACACTGTTAATAAAAGTAGTACAAGTGCAACCCACATAATGGACAGAGTTTGACATTAAACTTGTACAAAAATAAGGAAAAGTACTATATTTCCATCGCCTGTTAGCGGGTGGGATTTATGGGACAAGAATTTAAGAACTGAACAATTTTCCTCAACTGTATTGCAGTACAAAAATGGTAAAAATGTAAGGTGGTTTGACAAATCAGTATGAAGAAACTAAGTAAATTGTTCTCTAATTGGAAGGTGGTCATGCCTTTTTATAAATATATTTTTAGAAGAAAACATGTAGTGATAGATATTAATTGGAGGTCTGTACTGTATGTATTATGTAACTGGAGGATCTATTACATGCTTGTTTCCATTGTGATGTTATTGCTAATGCTTTGCCATGAATGTTCCCCAGTATGACATCTTCTTTATCTACTTGGCAAGGAGGCTTTAAGTTACATTACCTTGAAATTATCCAAGACACAAAGATTCCAGGTGCATCTTTCTCTTCTATTGGGGCAGTCTATGGTAAAAGGTAAAGTTGAGATTAAAAGTTTAGGTAAGTCTTTTTTTTTTTTTTTTTGTCTATGTTAAAAGACGATAGATGCCTTCACCTTCTTTTCCTCAAGAAAAACCTCTAATAGAGACAAGCTCTTCTTTGAAAACATGTAATAACAAGGACACTGCAAAATATAGTACAGGTTAGTTGATTTAAGTTGATCAAATATGTCAAATGCCTATTGTAAAGTTTAATATCCCGTATGAGGTTATGGTTTGAGTCTGTCCTCTAGATTACTTACTGCTCTTCTTGATGTGGTCTCAGTTGGAAGGGGCTTCTCTTTCATACAATGGGCACGCAGGTCGTCATCAACTTCCAGGATTCCATATTTACGTGTTTCTGAAACGTTAAAGTGCATATGTCCGGTTATACTACTCATTTTAAATTACACAATAGTTATGATGAGACGAATAAAAAATAAATGACAACTTTATTTTGTTAAATAAATGCTTAAACTGAACAATGCCTAATGCATAAATTGTCCCTGCATTTTGGGATGGAATTTTTGGTGTTGCTGACTTAAGTAGAGGTATTGTGTTTTAGAAAATAATAGTAATGCATCAGTTTTACATAGCGTTTTTTATTAATTATTCATTCACTCCACAATTTGTAGCCACAGAAGGAAGCAAGGCTGCCAATCTGCGCCATCGGCCCCTCTAACCACCACCAACACTCACGCACACATCACTTTCATACTAGAAAATGTAGTTGAAGTGCCACATGACACAATGACAACTTTTGCGACTGATGCTCCACTGTGGCACCTGATTTTCCCAGCAGTCTCTCATCCAAGTGACGAGATCAGGTTTTGACAAGCTGGTATGGCCACAACTCAGCGCAACTTTCTATCTTTTTTTACTTTTTAACTTTTCTTCACAACTTCTTTTTTTCACAAACCACCACTTAACTGATGTAAAACTAGTATCTTTACCACAGATTCTATCCCACCAAACCAAATAATGATTGGAAAACTTAAAACTTGTCATATGCAGTTTACATTTAATAGAAATGTATGTAAATAGTTATATCTACCATGAAGTAAACACTGGATGTAGGTGTAATATGGGACTTTAGACTTTGTACCTCTGAATCTGATAATGTTTTTAATTTTTTGCAGTAACATTAGACTCACCCTCTTCTTTGCACAGGTAGGACAGAACTAAACAGCTGTCCTCACTTTTAGCTTGAAGCTCATGAAATCTTTTGTTTACTTGAGTCAGACTGAAATCTTCTTTGAAAAGTGTGTCACTGTTAAAAGTAGAAATGTTATTGGGATAAGTTTAGATCTAGTTATAGGCATAAGTTACTGAATTCCTACCACTTACCCACCAATCGCTATAACATGATCTTTAATTTGAAAATGTTTCACTGCAAGCTGGAGACAGGCCACAGCCCCCAGGCGCTCCTAGAAGCAGTAAATAGGAGTTTAGTTAAGCTGAAATTCACTAATACACTGTTTACAGATCTCTTAAACGTGTAAGACATACCTCATTGGTTCTCGTGTCATCACTTATAATTTTAACATTTGAGAACTGTGTTGCCCACTCTTCAAATGCAGCACAATAAAGAGCATTAGTCTGTGGAGTGGGAGACATAAAATTCAAACCAAATTGTTCATAAATACATTTAAAACAAAACTACTGAACAGACATGAATAGGCACAAAAAATACAGTTCACTTAACAACTCCAGAAAGTCTATATACTGCACAGCTACTTAGGTCCCTGTCACATCTCTTCACTCATGACATATGAAAGGTATAAAATAGTTAGATTTACATTTTTAGGAAGGATAACATAAGCATTCCTAGCAATATTAATTGGGAAAAATGCCCCACTTTTACTATTTGAGTGGTCGACCCAGTTCTGTAGTTATGGCCACATATAGACCTAAATCCTTGACCATAAGATATTTGTCCCGATTTAGTCAATACAACCAGTCTGATCTAATTTAAATCACAGGGCAGCTTCAGAACAATTGAACACCTTAACTTACAACGACATAAATGCAGTCCACACATCCAGAAGCTGTCAGGGCATTGACCCAGTGGGAGATCAGAGCGCAGTGTCCCACCGGCAGCAGCGGCTTGGCGACCCCGGCCAGGTGAGCGAATCTCCCGCTACTGTCCGCTAGCACGTCCCGCTGTAGCCGGGTCCCGTATCCAGCGGCCAGGATCACGGCTTTCATTGTGGTCAGTATATATAATATATTTTGTCTTTATTATTACAAAAAATGAAAAGGTTTGATGAATGAACGACAGGCTTCCTGGAAATAAGCATGTAACTTTCGGCACAGCTGACCTAAAATATCGCGAGATGCAAATACGGACACACTTCCTGTTTCATTTAGTTAACTTTTTTTTTTTTTTTAGTTTATGGTATTATCTTGTTGTTGTTTTTTTTTGTTTAGTTTTGGGTTTCTTCTTTCTGTTCTCCTGTATAATCAACTGCAAACCACCCCCGTATTGTATTAAAAAAACAAAAAAACAATTAGTTTATATTTTGCACATTTCTAATTTATAGCTTGGAGATATTATTGTTAGTGCACCAGTTCATGGGTTTGTTCAAATTACATTTTAGTGAATAACAAAAAATGCTAAACTTCTTTGAACATTACTTTTTTACCCACCTTTTTCCTGAAAGACAGATGTTTATAGTATATTATAGATTAATACTAGAGCCCGACCGATATGGATTTTGTTGTGGCCGATATGAAACTGATATAATGGGAGTTGGCGCTGCCGATAGCCGATATAATCGCCGATATATTTAGTGATGTAAAAATTCACTGTAAATCTTGAATTGTTTACAAAACTTAGGTTTGGCTCTAGTGGATTCTAAATTGGGTTTATTTAGGCAACATTTATTGTTATTCTGACTCTTTACATCATATTTACATACAGTAGATTGGCCTAATGGCATTTTTGCATCACATTCTAGCTACTAGTGATGGGTATTCCAGTTGTGTTTTTTTGGAGAACTGGCTCTTTTGGCTCGGCTCACTAAAGCAGCTGGCTTTTTCAGCTCCAAAGCGACTCCTGAGATTGTTTTGTTGCAAGCAGGACTAAACTAAAACTGAACCAGGACTGAAAAAGGACTAAACCAGGACTAAAACAGATTTAAACCATGTGTGAAACAGGACTAAACCAGAACTGAACCAGGACTGAGTGTCGGGACTTGGTCTCTATCTCTCTCTCAAGACCAAGATTAGTCCTGATTTATTCATTTTATGCTGAACTGCAGCCAAATATGCACTTTTTAAAAAAAAAAAATCCTATGCACACGCATATTTCTGAAAGTTTCGTTTTCAGCCGCTGCTGCTGTCAAACTACGGGTCTACAAGCGGCTTGAAGAGAAAAAGTGAGAAAAAGAGAAAACACGGCTCCCAATAAGAAACATGCTCCTGTTGTTCGCTTCAAAGAGTCGGCTCTAAGAGCCGCTTCGATCGCGACCGACCCATAACTCCTAGCTAGAAAATAAACTATCGCTATTAACCTTTAGCCGTAAATGCTGCGCACCGCGGTAATTAATTATATGCATAAATGTGGATCATTCACACGTCTATTCACAGCTCATTTACATATCAATGCAGGTCCAGTGGGAAATATACGGACAATACAGTCACTTTACAATAGGCCAATAGAAAACAGCCTGTTTATGTGCGGGAGCTACAGCAGCTAACAGCTAACTAGCTTCAAAGTTAACATATTTCCAACACTCACTGCTTACACAGGCTCCTCCTCACATCACAAGTCTGCACTAATAAAAGTCCTTTTAATCCAGACTCAAGACGATTGTCCGTAAAAAGAATATAATCTCAGTGTTGCGCACCGCTGCGGGTGTAAACAATAGCACGTGAGTGAAGTGACGTGACTCTGGGGGTGTGTTCAGGGACAGTACGGACACAGACAAATTACACCGCAAATAAATACTGATGCGGAGCCACATATTAGGACATTTATCTGTCTATAAATTGGATTATATGAACATAATGTAGAGAGTCTAAGATTTATAACGAGGTATAACATGCCCACGTGAAATATCGGCCCATATCATATCTCCAGGCGCCCATGTTGGCCGATAATATCGGCCAGCCGATATATCGGTCGGGCTCTAATTAATACATTATCTTTACCCGTTTTGTGTTGTGTTTAAGAAAACCATTAATTACTTAATGCATTGATGATTAAAAAAAGGCTACACTATCTGAAAAATTCTATAATAAATCAATAAAAATCCTGAACCACATTTTCCCTTAATAATTAAAGCAGTTGGAGCCATAGTTTGTTGTTTTATTAACAAGAGCTTAGTGAATGAATAAATTCCCCTTTCATTATTCACTTTCAAAATACAAAATAAAGGATTCCCAACAGGAAAACATACAGTGATTAGAAATGTTAACATAAATTCATTATTCTTCTACTTCATCGCCATTCTCTGCCTCTCCATCCTGCCCTCCCTGCTGAGGGTCCGAGGGCTCTGGATGTGTGTCGTCCACTGGTTCCTCTGTCTCTGGGTGAGGAGAGGCAGACTCCTGAGCTGCTGCTGTCTCCATCTTATAAATAAAAAATAAGAAAAGATCAAGTCTGTGAAAATTTCAGGCATTTTCTGACAGTTTAGTTTTATTGTGGGAAAAAAATAGCAACAAATATCTACATTCAATACTAGTTGTAGATTATTTTGTGTTGTATTGTATTGTATTGTGGGATACCTGTCCAGCTCTATTGACACTCTCTTGCTCCTCCTGCTCCATGGGCTCCTCTTCTTCTTGCTGACGTTCGTTATGTTCAGGCTCAGGCATCGAGGTAGACTGAGGCTCTGCTGTGGCGGGTTTAAGAACTGGTTCAATCTTGAAAAGATACACGCATTTATTAGTGTATAAATGCATGGAGTTAACGTTTTTCTTTTTCACAGAGCCCCATCTCATACTCAAAATCTGAGAGCCAAGGCTGATGCTTTGAACAGTATATATTAGATGATGACAGGTTTCACACCTGCCATCTACTAGTGAAAAAAAAACAAATAAACTTGCACACAGTAACTTAAAATATTTTTCAGATTTATTAAGCATGAATAACTATTACCTCTTTCTCTGGCTCCACAGGTTTGGGTTCAGGTTTCTTATGCGCCTCCAGAACAGCCATGATGGATGCAGGAATGTGGGCTTGCTGTCTCACAGAAATTACATGTAAATAAAACACTTTGGAAAAAAGTTCATTTGTATTGAAAGTATTTTTCTCCTGTACCTGGTGAGGAGTAAATGACAACACATGTTGCAGTAGTGGGTCTCGCATCTCGGGGCAGCGTTCAAACACACTGCTGAGCTGAGCCGGAGGAAGAGACAAAAGAACTGTGTAGGATTGAGGTCTGGTCCTCTGACAGCACTTCACAAACCCCTCCCATACTTTAGGGTACTTCCACACCTAAGGGACAATAATGTGCAAATGTTAATATGCTATGAATTTTAAACAGTGCCTACATCAAAATTTCAGAAGTAAATTTCCCATTCATTTTTACAAGTTCGACAGCTTGAGGGAAATCTAAACAGCTATGACCACAAGACCTATTATTTAATTTAAAATCTGGTTCCTAAAACTCTATAATCTCAAAGTTATTAAAGGCCCGATATTACACATTGAATCTTGTTAGCCTTTATCAAAAACTTACCTGAAGGTGTGTTAATGTTTTTTGAGAAATCCTGCATTATTAGTTCATCTATATCTTCAATGCTCAAAATGCTCTGTATCATCTTCTGATGTTGTGAAGCAGTAGTTTTCAAGTTAACAGCTACCGCTTATCTTTTGTTCAGTAAATATTGGTAATTACAAAGCTAAACTTATTCAAATGGTGGTAGTGAAGTTGTATGGAGTTTAAACACACAGTGGAGCACATACTGTATTACCAAATGACATCACAAGGTGGAGTGTTTCTGTTTGAGAGAAGAATATGCGGGGTTTGTGTGTTAACCATGTGTGAATGAAACAAAACACAACTTCAGGTATGTTTTTGATGAGGAAACAACATTATAACATGGATAATAAAATAGCACAATATGGGCCCATTAAAATATAAGCACAATTATTATTAGTTTTTTCTGGACTGAAAACCAGTGTTATGGAAATGAGTTACCACATAGATGGTTAGATGGTTGTATCTTTAAAAATGGATGGGAGATTTACATCAGTTATATCCACACTATCCCTCCTCTGTACAAGTTAAAATCAACTCAATCTATAAGCGTTACATATAAAACATCTAACATGACTTATTCTATTCATAGAGGGCAAACCTACTTAGCTTGTCTGGACAGCAGTATTGAAGTAAAGATGAATTTTTGGTACAAACCTGTTTAGCAATGAGTCTTGATAAAATGTTCATGACGAAGCCGCCCAGTCTGGGATACATGGTGAGAGACTGGATCACAGTTCTCATGAGGAGCATTGGGAGAGGGTTCTGCTCCATCAGCTGCTGCATCACCACTGCCAACACCTCTGAGGTATAAACGTTCTTCTCTCCAAAACACAGGTTGGTAGCTAGAAAAATAATACAAGAAAAACATTTTATTAACTACATTCACAGAAAACAATGTATTATAATTTCAATTTCCTTTTTGAAGCTTTGGCTCTTCCCTTTCAGAGTGCTGTTACAACACAATCAGCGTGCATCTTCTGAAGTTGTTGTGTACAGTTTTGTACAATGCTTTAGTATATTTATGGAGATTTGTCATGTGGGATGACTGAGGTGGGCTTGTGGGCTGTGCTTTAGACAAAATATTTCTGCTAACGGTAAGGAGGGCTTGGTGCTCCGCAATTGAAAAATGGAACTAGGACTAGTCTCCACTCATCCTTTTTATTAATTTTGGCTTATTATTATTATGAAATATAAATATTAGGATCTTAAGTTAAATAGTTTTAATTTTAGTTATAGTTTTTATTCTGTAGTAAAAATATAATACAGACAAACATATGATGAAATATGTTAGTCGACAAAATAAACACAGCTACTGACCTTTTATAATAGATTTCATGTCACATTTGGTTGAGTCGATGTTGTGTAAAGCAATCAGCAGGTCTCCAGGAGTGAGAGGAGAAACAGATGAAGTGCCCTCACCTGGAAGACAACAGATATTAAACCAGTCCAAGCACTAACACAGACTTTTCAATGACAAAAACAATGTGAGTAACTTACTGTGCTGTGTGCCTAATAACCGGTTGAATACTTCTTTCACTACAATTGGGTTGAGTTTAATTAACTTGGGAAGGGCCTGGATAACTTCACTCTGAGAAAAAGAAACAAGTTTGGCATTTAGTAATTAGGAGTATACTTCAAATTTATTTCAGTTTATTTCTAGTAAATAATTTCAACACACTACCAATACCAGCATAAATGTACATAGTAGTAGTTTAAAACAGTGACTATGAATAAACCTTTTATTACACATTCAACATTATTCCTTTCTACATCTGTCTATTAACTAGACTAATATTTAATTAAAAAGTAAAAAGAAGTCATTTTGACCCACTTTGCAAAATTAATTATAAAAACAGTCTTTAACCATGAGTATCACTGGTTAGTCACGTTTTGATTTTAGATCGGCCATAGTCTGAAAATAGGTTTGTGTTGGAGCCATTAGTTTAAAATACAACTTTTTCACTTTTTTCACTCTGCCTTATTGCTTATTGCTTACCTTTTCCAAGCCGTTTATAACTGGGATTAAAAAGCGCACATCTGGCACCCTCTTGTGGTAAAGATCGCGCACCCTCTCTACCAGCTCTGGAGATGGAGGAACTAAAAAGAAACAACAAATAGTTTTTTTAAATGACCTTTTTCGGTGAAATAAGAATAATTATTTTTAAGTTTTCATTACCTTTGTCAGTGAGAATATGGAGGCAGCGTGTTACAAGTGTCTCAGCTCCTTTTGGACAATTTTCAACCAATAACAGCAAATCAGGAGAGTTCATGCCCATTCCACGAATCTAAAAACAAAAAAAGGAGACTACTGATTATTTTTTTTTCCAATAAGATTGCATTTATCACCTTAAAAGGCAAGAAAATTGTATCATTATATTTTTTAAAGGAATGACAATTCATAAAATTTCAATTTAAAACATCATAGTTGTCTAACAAAGCATTACAAAAACACTACATCACTACAATTTAATGTAGTATTTTATAGTTGGTCTAAGAATTTAGTTGTGATCCTTTACTAACATAACAAATCACTGTATTTTTCAAATTTCTAAACAGCAGAAAAGGTTATGACAAAAGATCAAAAACCTTATTAAAATACACAACTACTGATTCTGGGTTTCAGAATGTTCCTCCAGTCATACCTAGTTTTCATCTTAACTAAAGCAAATATAATACAAAAACATCTCTGTACCTCTATATAGTTCTATAAACGTACCGGCTGCTCTATAGCTCTGAGGACGCTGCGTTTGATGTCTGCAATGGCCTCAGTGTAAACAGCGGCGAGTTCATGGACCAGACGATGGTTGAGAGGAAGAAGAGAAAGATACAGGAACAGACACTGACGAACTGTCTCCTCTGTCCAGGGGGCAGCCACCTCTGAAAGAGGAATACAAATTATAGGTCAGGGATCAAGTAAATCAAGGCTGTCAAAAAATGATGTAGATTTGTCATTCATAAAGTTATACAAAGTTACAAAAAGATACACTGAACAGACAAGACAGGCTTTTAAATCAGAGCCATTTAACACAAAAACATTTTCAAATGTTTTTCTTTCAGTTCCAAAACCATACTTTGCTGACTTCTACTGAGGATTAGTATATGCATTTTGGTTATATTATGGTAGTGCAATAAATGCAATTTTACCAGTTATAACCATTATTTCAATTAATGTACACATATATGGTGGTAGTAGTATTTATATGTAGCAATAGTAATACAAATAACCAATACAAGATATTAGTAAAATGAACATTAATAAATGCTCCCTGAAGATGGTCATTACTTCTTGTTTTTATAAATGAGAAACCTATGCTATGCAAGCACAAACCAGGATTTGTTGCTAGAGAAATTTAACTTTCTTATAACACATTCTAATACCTTAATCACACTATTACTAAACAAATAATATTCAGTAAGGTCATATTTCATACCTGTGTCTTTGTCAGCCCCAAATAGCAGAGAGGGTGGATTGGGATGAACCAGGAGCTGCATGTAGTTCAAGGCAAACTTCTCAATGTAGTCTCTCAAATGCTCTTTTTCATACATTCTCTTCAGGAAACTTAAGGCTGTTGTGCGCACCTAACATGCATAATAAATGTTACTAAATACTGTGCTTAGTGGATGCCATACATTTTAAAGATAGATATAACTTCTTACTTTCTCTTTTTCATGTGAGCTAAGATCCAAAAGCACATGAAGATATTGAAACTGCCGTGAAGGCCGGTTGAAAATCAATTCCTTTAGGGTAGTCATTCCCAAATAAACTCGAGACTAAAACAGAATACATTGACATTGGTTTGTTGTACAATTATGGATTTTTAGTATTTAACTGAAGTGTATATTTACCTCGTCCTCACAATATCGCCGTATGACTTCTAAAGCAGAATCTGTAATAATTGGAGCCTCTAAAACCAGTTTGGTGAAAAGTCTGAAAAGAAAATACATTAAAAAAATTTAGACAACAACATTCCTCTGATCGAGTTACAAGATTTTTTTGATTTAGAACACAGAATACAGGGATACACCAGTGCAGACAGTGCTATCAGATATCTGAAAAATACACTGGAAAATTTGCTGGATCAGTTCCATTATATTAGTTTAGTCTTTTGGCCAAGAGTATCCAAGTCAATAACAGCAGTAGTAGTAACAAACGGTCCATCTCACAATGTGTGCATTATCATCCTATCCTAAAATACAAAATACATCTAATTGTTCTTTATATAATTACTAAGAGTGAATTAGAGTCCTCCCTCACCCGTCCCTCTGCTCTGGTTTCTCCTGCAGCCCAGACAGCAGAGTGTAAAGACAATGATCATAGCTGTCGAGCAGACCGGAGGGCATCTGGCTTAAATATGTGGTGTATTCCTGATAGAGCAGAGAAAACGCCAGGTCGCTCCGAGTCCGGATGTCCTCCAAGATAAAATCCAGGACGTCCCCCTTCATCATTCCCTCAAATTGAGTCACCAGACGGGACAACAGTTTCACTCTAACCTGAGGAGGGAATGGGACGAAGTGAAAATATGATACAGAAACATAATTACCTTTAAGATAAGACATATCATTCAAAATCTCCTTAAAGTATAGACCTTGTACAACATACAATTTGTATGCAAATTACAAAAGAAATATCACAATAATGCAATTTTTCAAGTTCTGTCACGTAAAAATATAGCAAATGACAGAATGAAATATATCTAGCATCAAGTGTTAAACAATAAAAATGAATTGTTTAATAATTGCTACATACAGTCAATGTGCTTTCTTATGTAATCTGAGTTGTATACCTGGGACATGCCGCTCTGGGCGATGGACTTCTCTGAGTGCAGGATGCGTCTGACGGCTTTAGACGACAGGCTTTCAAGCTGAGTGTCGGTCAGAGGCTGAATCACATCAGACAAACGGAAGACCTTCTTCCTCCCACTCGCACCTGAGATTCTGTTTAAACATCACAACATTTCAACATTTGACATCATGTACAATTTGATCATCTAGAGTCTAAGCAACAGAATAAAAGCAGCATAACTTGCTCCTTTTTATCATTAACATAATTTAGTAACTACTACGTTTGACAACTCAGATAGAATGATTACATAATAAATTATCAAAAAATAAATTCTGTTCTGAAAGATACAGGCATTTGTTCTTCTACATAAAACCTGGAGCAGTCACTGTTACTAAAGTGGCTTTTAAAACATAAATCACAAAATTGATGATTAGTCTTTTCTGCAGTTTAATTTTTAACTCTAAATAACTATTTATTTATAATGGTTTCAATTATGAACCAAATAATGAGGGTTTATCCCCACAGTATAGTATGTTGTATATATTTTATATTGTCTTGGACTCACTTGGTCTGAGCAGAGGGCAGAATGGGTTCAGGAAGCCTCTTTAGCACTGGGATCTCAGGTGTTTTCTCCGTGTGTACCCCCACCACAGAAATGTTCTGCACCATCATCTGAGATTTACGTTTGATCAGAGGGTCTTTGCTGCTGCCCTCTTCCTCTGCTGTCTCTTTGTTTTTGGACTGCTCAAGACCTAAAAGTGACAAATATTTAATGAAAAAAAAACAACAAGTCTTTAGTAAACTCTTAATAACTAACTGAATAATACTACAAAATGAATAACTAAATTAAATGTAAAAACTTCTGAAATTGACCAATTGAGTCATTAGATGTTCTGTCTGATTTTGTTTTTAGCATTGAAGTAAAAAAGATAAACAGAATGAACATAAAGTAATCAACAAATTCAATATTTTTCCAACAAAGCTAATCAAAATATATACTAGTAGTCTACTCATAATCACAAATATTTTAAAGTAACTTTTTAAGTTGAATCTCATTAATAAATATAGCATCAGTGTTTCCCATAAATATTCAAGTTTATGGTTTATATAATTATATAATATTATTTATATAATTGTTTATATATTTAGAATAACTATATTTAATTATTAAATCTTTCCTTTTGTATAACGAAATTTGTACTCCAAAGATAGTACTTCATAAAATTATTCAAATATGGTTCGCCTGTACCACCTTAGTCTGTTGTAAACACTGTGGTATATTATTAAACTTTACCTGGACCAATCCCTGCAGCAGTCATCTGAGTGGACAGGAGTCGAGCCAAATGTTTGATCTGAGCATCTGTGCCTGCAGACTCGACGGGCGTGTATGTGGACTGGAAAGAGGCGGGCATCACATCAGGTAGGTACACCATACTGATCAACACCTGGAGGAGAACAGGGGAGAAGGCATTTCAGAAAAATCAATAAAAAAAAATCTTGATTATTTTTTTTCCATATCACCCCGCCCTATAGCAAACATTGTATTGCTGCCCATTTTTTAATTTTAGTGATTTATTCAGCCCTTTCTTTCTACTTACCAGGTTGGCAACGTTGTCAGGGGTCAGTAGGGGGCGCAAGAACTCTGCTGTGAGATCTATAGCTGACTGAGCGACTGGAGCAGGAGCAGGTTTGGGCACAGGAGGGGGGGGCTCCTCCTTATCCTCATCCTCATCTATCAGGGTTGGCTCTGAAAAATACACATGATTAGTAAGTGAAACAAGTGGATCAATTTTATCATTTAGGATTTTATTATCAACTGTTTTTTTTTTTTGTCTTTCTAAAATGTACTCAATATTCAAAATTTTCATTTTATCAAAACAACATTCACGATCTTTATCTTCTAATAATATCTTCTAAATAAACTTCCCTGCTTACCGATCTTGACCTTCTTGCCCTCTGTGTACTGCTCGTGTCGGGGGCGTTTGCGTTGTTCTCGGAGGGCAGGAGTGGAGCGGGCGATCTCGCTCTGAGGCATTCCTAGGTCCTGAAGCAAAGTGCTGATCTGTCCATGGAACTCCAGACTGCACGGGTGCTTCAAAACGGCCACCAGGTGGAGCTTTAGGTTCTTGCGCACACTGCTCACCTGAGACTTCGCCAGAGTGGGGGGCAAGTTTGCTAAAAACAGGTAAAGGCAAATCTCTAATTATTACATGATAACAAGAGCAGGGTTGATGTGACTTTGAACTGTAATACTATTTGTAATTAAAGAGGCAGCGTATTAGTTATGCAGTATGTTAGTTATTTTGGATTTGAGATTAATTGCACAGCCCCAACTTGACATCCATTCAAATACACATAACTGTTGCTCTTATAATCTCAATTATTACTCTATTCAATTTGATATGATATGTGCCACACTTCTGTACCAAACTCACTTTGGTAATCTACATAGCATTTTAAATAAGTGTAATTGCCTAAATATTATAATTTTTTTGGATTAAGTACTGGTCACTATCTGGAATGGAATGGAAACTCCACTTTTTTGTCCCCATTAAAATGCTACCATTATTAAGACCTTGCTGTATATTTTAAATATATTTTTTAGATAATTGCTAATTACTTTTTTTTTGTGACAATTTCTAACTAAAAATGTTCCCAAAACTATAGCTGACTATTCATTTATTTATTATTTTTTACAAATTACAGTAAAGTATCATAATACATGCTAACCCTCATCCTAAAACCCTAATTACCTGTGTCCAATATCACTCACCATGCAGAGTCTCGTAGGCTTGTACCACCTCGGACATGAACATGGGCCTCTGTCGGGCGATTGTGGCCAGCGAGCCCAGAGCTGTTGTCAGGTTGATGCTGGAGATGGCCGGGTGCACCATAAACTTCAGCAGCTTCTCCAGAGCGGTCTTCCCCTCTTCACAGAGAGCATCTGAGGACAGAGCCAGATACAAAAACAAAAATTATACCCCGCACTCCTGGCAGCAAGCTCCTCCTCATAGAATCTGCTTAAACAATATTTGCAGAAAGATATTACAGGGCAAATGCAGGTTTCAAATACAAACTAAAATAATAGTAATTTTAGTACTAAGCCAAACTAACACAAGTCTATCCAATTGCTCCATGACCAAACCAGGCCTAATTTCAGACTAGGCTGTAGTCTTGGACACAAGGGTCATCAGAATATTAGCCAATTGCACTCTTGGTTCTTTATATTGTCATATTTTTTGCCATATGGATAACAATATACGCCAAAGACTTACTAATTGTCAACAATATTTTACAATCTGAAAAAGTAAAATTTTAGTTGTAATTGTAGATTTCAATTATTTTATGTTTCGCTTTAGTCTTCTTTTTAGTCTTGTCTTGGTTCACATTTACATTTATACTTTCAAGGTCCTATATTCAAAATTTACTCTTCAAGAAATGTTAAGATGTTGTTACCTCATCAACATACCTCATTTACACATGTTTGAGTAATTGGTCATGGTCAGATTTTTTATACCGCTTTTCCACATTCAGGGCACTCAGAGCACTTTATAACAAAGAACCACTCATTCACACACACACATTCATACACCAGTGTAAGCAGACAATGGCAATTCAAGAGCTGAAATTATCTAAATGATTTCGGTGACTATCTACAGAGTTTGAAAACACAGTGTAGCACTTGCTGTATTAACTCATGACAGAAGACCTAAATATGCAGGGTTTGTGTGAAAGAAACACACTGCACCTCAGAGTATGTTTTTGATGAGGAAACAGCATTATAACATAGACCAAAATAATAGTGTAATATGAGCCTGTTAACTAAACTAGAATGTGCAAGTATATTCAAATATTGGTACAATAATAGTTCATCTCTCAATATCTGAACTGAGCCCAAAAGCGTAATCGTAAAAATTAGACTATAGAAATAACCTCACCATAGCGGATGTAGGAGTGGTCTTTGGGTACTTTGTCCAAACTGATGTCATTCTCTTGCCGCTTGGGGACCTCTGACTCTGGTGTCCGTGGAGACAGGGCGATGATCAAAGCCTCAGTGAATTTAATGGCATGAGTTCTGACACCATCGTTTTCAGAGTCCAATAACTCCAGCACCTCTCCTTTCATATTAGTGAGCATGTCCCAGCATGCCTCCTGCATCTCCGAGATTACTTTAGATCGCACCAGCCACTGCAGTGAGAAATGTTCAAATCATACTATATCAAAACATGTGAAACTCAAAAATATAAGAAAAATAATATCAACATGAGAACTAAGAAGTTAAGGTGAAGGCACACTTTTTTCACCCATACTTCAATTTTGCTGGAGCAATATATTTATAGCAGTGTGGACCCATCTCCAGATCATGAGCTCTGCATGACTACCTGATTTTTCTTAACTAAATAATGATCAAATATTTTATGGAGAAACATGCTAATTCTCTAGTGAGCAACTCTACAAAAATATTTTGAAATGAGATTTTAGTATTTATTTTAACCGAATATTTCAGTCCATATTTCAGTCATGCTACTAAATGTGTTCACAGTGAAATTTGAAAAACAGAAATGGCAAATAGAATTCTCAGCATGATAACATGTTGTAGCCCTAAAAATACAAACACAAACCTGCCACTAGGGTAGGTACTTAAGGCAATGCTTTACCTGTAGAGAGACTTTGTAGAGCTGTGTGAGTGTGAGGATGCCCTTCTTTATCACATTTACACTGTCATCCCTCAGCAGCATGTTCAGGTTAGCAATCAGCCTGAGGAGGAGCTCATTGTCTCTCTTACTATAAACAAAATCAACAGCATTAGGTCTGAAAAATTAAATTAAGAATACCTGAAATATACACCATAATTTACCAAGCTTCTTCAATGAACCCAATGACAAACTTCCTAACTTCTATGGACTTGTCAGTTTGAAATGCAATCATCTCCTGTTGGACAGATCAGCAAAGAATATACAATGAAATCTACTCTTCATTTACTGTGTTAATTAAATGATTCACCAATTCAACTGTTAAGAATACCTAATAAAACATCTACACTGACTGAATTTAGCATAGCCTTTACTTACATCAAGAAAATTATCAAGAAGAGATGGGTCTTTGTTGATGATAAGCTCTTGGACCTGCAAAAGAAGAAATAATTAATAGCCTAAAAATAACAAATTACTGCAATTTGACAACACATATAAACGGTACAAAAAATGGCAAGATGAATTACATAATATGTATAGTGGCATGTTGTCACTTGCAAAATTTAAGATTCAGTGTAATGGAATCAAACCAAGACATGGAGACACTGGTATGGCTGTCTTTTTAAATGGTAACTAATAATTATTATTATTTTTTTTGTATTGCTGCCATTTCTGTCTTAATAATGCCCCATTAGTCTACAATAAAGTTAAATTTAATTTAATGTAATGTAATTTAATTCCCCAAATAAACAGTATCCAAAATGGCTAGTTGTATTACTTATCAAATTGCATACCTGTTTGAGCACAGTCAGCTTTTCATCTGTGGGAATAAGCGCTGCTTGATTTAGAAGTTCCACCACCTACAAAGAAATATAACAAATCTTATATAAGTGAAACTTTTCTCACAACATACCTACTTTATTTATCATTCAAAGGGCACATGTGTGGGCCCTTGTACCTTGTTTCTTATTTAAAAATGTAATAAGACTTTTTTTGGCCTAATTATCAATCTCTGAGGTACACTTTCTATGCATTTTCCATACTTTGGAATATTCTCCATGGAGAGGAGCAAGAGTATGCGCTACTGCAGGCCAAAGAAGAATCAGGTTTGTGGATATGTGGATTTTTTGCAATATAAAAAAAAAAGAACATGCCTTCATTTTAAGTCTGTTTTTAGCTCAAAGGCTATATACTTTGGTTTTAATCTTTTTTTTTTTTTACTTGTAAATCTCAAAAGATATTAAAAGCTGTATTGACAAAGATTGAAGAAATACTGCTTGGAAAAACGGCATACCTTTTCACTGGTGGTCATGTCAATATTCTTTGGGGGGACTTTCGCTTTTTGGGAGACCTCTTCTTCCTCTATGAAGTTCATCTTGAATTTGTCTACTGAAAATCCCGTTTGGCAGGTTTATCTGTTCATTGCAAATTTTATAAAATCACAACACGTATAGATGCATAATTTTATATGCAAATAGTTTATGATATTGTTAGTAATACAAATCATTAGCAGGTGTTTTAGCATTAGCCGTCACACAAGATCGCTAAAATACATCTAAGGGCATGAAATTATTTAAACTGTATGTCTTTCATAATAATCAAAACTCATTTTAATATAAGATAGTGCAGAATACCTGTGACATAGCCAGATGCTAATGTTAGCATACTAAAATTTCTACACTTTTCCATAGAATTAAGAAAGCTACTCACAGCTTAAAGTGTAGATTTCTCAGAGCAACAGAAAAAGATGCAGGTTACACTTCTGTACAAGTTCACTACATGTTTATTTGTCACAATTAATGAGAAACCCGTTCATTTTTGTGAAAGCATCCATGTTTGATTAAAAGAGCGGTGCGTCTGCGTTCTTCTTCCCCAGCAGAAAAAGATCCAATGTGTGTAAAGTACAGCTCTGTGGCCATCTGCTGGATCTTACAGGGATTATATCTTGGATCTATTAAGGATTATATGGGTTACAGTTTCATTCTAATGAATTTATTTGAATTAATTATTAAAATAAAAAGATGAAATAAACCTTTTATTTGGTATTAGAACAAAGCTATAATTTAAATATGAACTGCAAAAACAATTTACATATAAGAGTGATACAGTAAAATAACGTTATAAAAATATGTCTGTGTTTTGTTTAATACATATATTTAATATATTTAATCATGTTTACAGTTAGGGGAAACAGTAGCATAAAACTCATTTTCCCAGAATTCTCAGCGCATCATAAGTGATGTCAGCTGATTACGGAGCGGGCGGGTGTGTGCTAGTGTTTACAACCGAAGACTGTCAATCATTTCTTTACCGTAAAAAGGACCATCGCTTCATCAATATTTCGATTTCTACTTACAATTGTCAAATCGATAATGGCAAAAATCGATCGACAACTTTCTACGTGCAGGTAACTCTATATTAAAGCTTATTTGACTCTTAACAAGGAAGTGTAGCCCTTGGTTAGCCCTGCAAACTTTAAATGCCATGAGCATTATGTTGCATATGGATTTCGTTTGCATGTTTTGATTTAAATACACCTAGCATATGATTTTTGTTTTTTTGTTTAAACGCAAAGATAATAAAATATGTTGTTGTTTGTAGAGCTTCTTGAGACAGTGGTGTCGTTTTAAAGCTAAGACAGCTAGCTTAAATGCCTTACACAGGTTTAGTTAGGGTCAGGTTACTTACTTTGATAACGATTTAGGTTTAGTTCAGTGTGGGTATAAAATCCACTGACTGAAATCTCTAGCTACAGTGCTATTATTGTGTACCTTGTTTGTCAAAAGGGTTAATGCAACTGTTTTTGATTGTTATGTTGTTACTTTTATCTCTTTCCAACAGATGTCTAATAAAATGAAGTGAATTTATATCAATATTAGGAGCTTCATCTGTTGCAGTCACACAGCTGGAGAAGGTAAGACAAGTTAGATCTATTAAATCAATGAACCAAGCTTTTAATGGCTTACTGTCCAATTTAAGAAAATCTTTAGCAATCTATGTACTTTTATATAGAACAGTTCTACTCTACAGTGCAGAGATCATAAACTTATGTAATCATTGTGCTAGTCTGAAGCTATAGGGGAGCATGACATTGTTACTATTATATTGTTTTTTGTTTAATTTTAAAAATATTTTTTACTGTATTTTCATTGTTGGTATTTGGCATAGACCTCTTTTGGACCTTTCCCTTTATGATGTCAAAACAGAATAATAATGTGCATAAGTTCAATTTAAAAAGAATTTATTTGAGGAAAAGTTGTGCTTTTTATCATTCATTATGGTGACAGTGCCTTGTAACTTTCTATATTGTTCTCCCGGAATCCAATCTTGTTAGAAATGATTATTAGTTTCTGCATTTATTCAGTGCTCTAACAATGTTTACACAGTTCCCAGCTCTCTGATATAAAGAACATTTGTTCTCACTTCCCCAGTACAAAAGCTGAACATTGTTTCTGACTTTGTGCTTGTTCACTTAGTGCAGATGGAGTGGGTGTTTGTGATGAACCGTATGAGCGCTCAGAGCAGCTCTACGGTGCAGCGGCGGCGGATGGCTCTCGGCGTCGTCATCCTGCTACTTGTTGACGTCATCTGGGTGGCCTCCTCCGAGCTCACCTCAGTAAGATCACTGTTAACTACCATTTACTCTCTTAATGTGTGGTCACAATACCAACACTTACTATTTCAATACTAAGGAAAAGGTTCAATAGTCATTAACAATTTCAATACAACATACCGTTTGTTAGGCATAATGATGTCATTTTACACAAAATTATAGTAGTTTTTCTACAGTATAAGTGGCCTTATACTGTAGCTCTTATACATCAAAACTATTCTCAAACTATTCAGGAAAGTACAATTTTGTCCTATTTATTTTTAAACAATGATTACTGATGACTGTTAATCATTTTTGTCAGTAATTAGTCATATTTCTAAAACAATTCTAAAACAATTAAGAAAGGAACTTTAGTCAATTTTAATTGTTTTGGATTATTTTTTATAAGCAGTTAACCCCATTTGCTATTTCCGCCCTATGATGATCCATTCAATGGAAACATGTCGGTCTTGAGATCAGGATTAAACTGATTGTGCAGTTGAGATGTTTTAAAGAATAAACAAACCTGTACAAATGTTGTTGAACCCAAGTGTTTGGAGTGAAGTTGGAGGTGATGAAGTAGCTAGCTATTTAGTTTATGGCTATGTGCTCCGTGAGTCTGAGTATTATGAAATATTTCTATCCATTGCTATTCTATTTATTATTATTGTGAATGTCAATGTACTGTTTTTAACTGATGACAAACAACATTCCATTGATTTGTGTGCACTAGCATACATCGAAATGACAACTTCATTCATTCATTCATTGTACCTAATGTTGTTTTCCTGTTTATTTACCCTACAGTACATTTTCAAGCAACAGGAGTACAACAAGCCCTTTTTCAGCACATTCACAAAGACCTCCATGTTTGTGCTGTATCTTTTGGGGTTCTTGTTATGGAGGCCTTGGAGGCAGCAGTGCACTGGGACAATCAAGAGAAGACACTCTGCTTTTGTAAGTGGGCCTGTCGCAATGAAATATTTTGAAGCATGTGTTGCTACACAGATGTACTGCGGTATACCATAATATTAAACCTACTTCCACCACAATAATGCAAGATAATCTCAGTAAACCATCAGCCTTTTACAGTATTGTATCTATTGTATTAGTAAAAGTGGGGAGAGTTTACATATTTTTGCTCTAAGAAAATATACATTCGATAAATACTGAACCCCAGAATATATTGTAAATAGTAGTAAATTGTAGTAGTAAATAGTAAACTGTCACATTTTTATATAGCTCTTTTCCACCTTTTTCACATTAAGGAACCACTCACCTGTTCACACACGCTCATACACCAGTGTATGCAGACACTGGGGGCAAGATAGGTTCGGAAGGTTTTGCCCAAGAACACAACAATAGCTTTAATCTTTGGGAGCTGAAATTGCACCCCCAACCTATTTGTAAGTCAAGTTAAACTAGTAATGAGGACCCCCCTCGAAAACGAGATGGCAAGACATCTCAAATAAATAAATCCAAATTCAGTAAAACCAATTCAAATGTACTATCTAATTTTTGCGACTACGTATGCACCGATACTTGTAAGATATAAGATAAGAAATTTGTTCACACATTTAGGACTGGCTTATATAAAATCTTGGTCTTACTCAATAAATTAAAACTCAAAAACTATACACTTCAACAATTTTATTTCATTTCAGTTCTAGCAAATAAGCAAATGAAGTGGAAATGTCCTGAAAGTCCCTATATCAACAGACTTGTAAATTGTAATCCTCTATTTTAAATATTAGCTTTTCCAGTTTGCAGATGCAGAGGCCTACTTCGCTCGCTGCAACACTGATACAGCTGGTGACAACTGTTTGGTATGTTAAAAATGTATAACTTTATTCTAATATTTTAATGTCTAATTTGAAACTAACAATGCATTTGATTTCTTTCATTTCTCTGCCTCTCCTTTTGTCTAGAGTGAACCACTATATGTTCCAGTCAAGTTCCAGGACATCCCAAATGAGACTTCCTGCAGTTTAATTGGAGACTGTGAAAGTATGTGGGAGATTTACTTAAGATAAGATAAGATAAGAGAACCATTATTTGTCCAATGCAATGCAAAGGACAAGAACAGCAGAAACATCAACACAAAAAAAAGAAAAATAAATAAAATAAACCTTAAATCTAACTGTTCAGTACCATATTAAAAGATGCTATGAATAAATTTAAGATACAACATGTCAGCTTTATTTGACTCATGCTGTAGGTGACACCACACTTAGTCCACTTCTTTATACAGTCTATGGTGAACAGTTAAATACCCCCTGTTTAAAAATGGTCTTTAACATCTGATAACTTCATTTACCATAAAGTGTTTCCTTTCCTGATGTTTTGACTCATTTCACTTGTTTGTCTCATATCATTTACTTATTTAGTCATGTACTACCCCCTTTCTTGCTTTGTTCCCTGCAGCATCTTCCAAAAAGCAGCGTGTTCGTTTCAGTAACATTATGGAGGTCCGACAGCTCCCCTCCACCCAAGCTCTGGAGGCCAAATTGTCTCGAATGTCCTATCCGGCCGCTAAAGATCACGAGGCCATGCTCCAGACTGTGGGGAAACTCACTATCACTGATGTGGCCAAAATCAGTTTCTTTTTCTGCTTTGTGGTCAGTAAAAATTATATATTTTTCTGTTTAGTAGAGCTGAACAAAAATGTTTATTTTCTATTTTTCTGACAAGCATTTCAATTGTGATTAATGTTTTAATAATAGAATTCTGTTTAAAGTTTTTAGCATGTCCAGGAGAATTAACAAAAAGGAAATATGAACTGAAGCAATTACAGAAGCGATAGTTTAGAACATTTGTACAGTTGTAAACTACAGGGTTAGCCATTTTTATGCAGAATAAGGCAGGATACTTTGTTGTTAGAAATATTTAGTAAAGGAATTATCGCACTTCAATAATTTAGCCAAAAATGTTTAATCCATTCAAATTACAATTTCATTTTGATTGCAATTAATTTTGCAGCCTAACTGTTAGATTATATCATATTCATTCACAGAATGTATTGGATATAAAATAACAATGGGGAAGCCCTTAGGAGAAGTTTTGCCAATTTACCCAGAGAAGAAGTAGCAACTAATTATGGACAACTATAAGCACTATATCTTTTATTATTGTTAGAAACTATGAAATTTATTTTACAAATAATTTTGTAAAAAAATATCATACATCTTTTTGTAAGGGTAAAATGACTAGTAATCAAATTAAAATCCATTTTCAATTGTCTGAATTGACTGAAATTTGGTCATACAATGTCCTCTATAGAAACCCTCTATTTTCTCTTTGTATGTATTAACATGCTATGCTATAAATGCACTCTTGTGTTAGTTTAAGTCTTTATATCAGAGTTATTTCAAATATTAATACTCCTAGACATGTTTAAAGGTGAACTTAATCTGAATTAAAAAAAAAAAAAAAAAGTACACATTCTTATCACAGTCACAGTATTCAAAGGTCCAGTGCCTTGTGATGTGTTTTGCTCTGCTGTAACTACGTGTTGCCTTTGTCTCTCAGGGTCATTGTTCTTTGTTTGTCTTTCAGTGGTTTCTTGCAAATCTCTCATATCAGGAAGCCCTGTCTGACACACAAGTGGCTATAGTCAACATACTGTCCTCAACTTCAGGTGAACTGGCTTCTCTGTTACAAAGGACAAGAATGTATTAGTCACAGCTAGTTTATTGTTTCTGAAATGTGTTAAAGTGCATATGACAGGTTTTCATGTTTACTGAATTCTAACTTGGTTTGGTGGAATACTTATGGTAAATATTCATCAGAGTTTAAATTGGTTTGGCAGCAGTTTGTAGAAAACAGTTGAGAAGAAAAGTGCACGAAGCAGTGCTACCTATGCCATCAACACAGACAATTTTATCCAAAATGCAGGGGCATTTACACATAAGAAAAGCATTTTTACTGTAGTTAAAGCCTCCATTTTACAAAATATAGATGCTGTTATTAGTTGTATTAGTCTAATCATAATTCTTGTGCAAGTTGTGGTGTGCCAATTAAGCTTTTATGCATAGAATAGTCTAACCTGTAAATCTTTATCTTACTTTTCTCTTTGTTTGTCCCATTTAGGTCTGTTTACTCTCATCTTAGCGGCCATTTTCCCCAGTAACAGCAGTGACCGGTTCACTTTATCCAAATTGCTGGCTGTGGCTTTAAGGTGTGTGACCAAACAAACTTGGTAATAATGTTGTAATAAAGACCACAACTATTTACTGAGACAACTAGACTGGGCCTTGTAGAAAAAAAAAATTACCTGGAAACAAATGATCTCCTCAAAATCACATGCATGTATTTTTGTTTAATACTTCTGTGATAAAACATAACATAATACATTTGATTTTGTGTTTAAACATATTTCTGTGCATTCACATTTTTTTGTAGTATTGATTAATGAATTAGTCCTTGAGTATTTGTTTGCGGCATTATTTTCCACTGGTCTTTGTCCCAGGCTACTAAAACAGACTTTACTGTTGAATGTGACTTTTTACAGATTCACCAAATACACAGGATATATTTTAATTCCACTTGCACATACAAATCTATATAATTTTGCATTATTTTACACAAGTCTCTTTGTTATAATATTGGGGACAATAAAGTATACTCTATCCATAACCTAGTGTAAGTTATAATTCACCTAATTAATATATATGCCTTGTTTCTTTTTTCAGTATGGGGGGAGTAGCTCTGGTCAGTCTTTCCAGTATGGACAACCATGATGAGAAGGGCGCTATAGGTAAATCATGAAATTACTGTATTGCTAATTAAATTTTCCTTTTAGTATCATTTTAATAACCATACTGTCTATTTTGACTTCAGGCTCGTTGTGGTCCCTGGCTGGAGCCGTGCTTTATGCTGTGTACATTGTGATGATAAAGAGAAGAGTAGATCGGGAGGATAAACTGGACATCCCAATGTTTTTTGGTAATAAACTGTTTTTTTATATTGTATTTTTTAAAATTGCATTTTATGTTTATTTTATTTATTTATCAAACATTATTGCAGTGGCAAGTTTTTTTCCCTTTTTTTTTAACAGTTTCAAAATTTCTCTCATTTATAAAGAGAGATATCAAGTTTAATTTGTTTAAGCTTGCTAGCAAGTCTTAGAAGCTGTGAATAATATGCATATTCCTATTTATTATCCCAATTTATAATATCTATTCATTCCTTATCCACTTTTTACTTTTCACCAAAATTTCATGATTGTATTATTACTATCCAGTGTCTTATGTCTGCATAATATAATTTCTTTAGTTTCTTGTATTCAGTTTTATGCTTATATAACTGTGTTTTCAGGGTTTGTGGGTCTGTTTAACCTGCTCCTCTTGTGGCCGGGGTTCCTTCTTCTTCATTACACTGGGTTTGAGGTGTTTGAGCTCCCGAGTCAGTTGGTCTGGACTTACATCCTCATCAACGGACTCATAGGAACTGTACTGTCTGAGTTCCTGTGGCTGTGGTGAGTGGCTAGTTTTTCTCTCAAAAATAACTCAAAAAACAGTGAGCAGGGTAATTTTTCCAGAGATCTGACCTATAGTATTGTCACAATACAAAATTTCAGACTCCATTTCGATACTAACGAATAGGTTCAATACTCAGATTACAGATTCCAATACCACGATGATAATTTAAAAATTTATCATTCTGTTTTAGACAACAGAACAGAATTTTCATCTCAAAGTAATAATACATTCTTCATGTTACCATGTGATCATTCTAAAACTGTTTATGTGTAGATATAGAGATACTTGCTCAAATGACCATCTAGTTTAGATACTAGTTTTAGAGTTTTGACAACCCTACAGACCTATAACTGGCCTAGTCACCTACTTGTCAAACCTGACTCTCATTTGGCCTCGACGAAGACCTCCTCCTGTTTGCCACAGTAAGACATAAAACATATATTGTACAGAAGTGGGGAATGTTCTGAAATGGCTTTAATTTCCATGCAATCATGCAGGTGACATTCCACTGCCACAAAGTTAACAAGTGCATACTGTTGTGTCCTTGAGCAAGAGTAATGAGGGAGCCATTATTGGTGTCTGGACATGCTTGAAATGAAACACTCATGAATACCTATTTAGTTTTGATAATGCAGTAAATTGTTGATTTATTTCTGAGTGATGTTATAAACCTGTTTTCTCTCTAGGGGCTGTTTCCTCACTTCATCTCTAATTGGGACATTGGCTTTGAGCCTCACTATCCCTCTCTCTATTATGGCTGACATTTGTATGCAGAAGGTAAGACTGCACTACAGCTAAGCTACCAGGAGAGGGCACTGCAAGGAATATCATATTAATTTGTTAAGTTCATAATAATAGTTAACTAGCAAAGAACTATTTCTCTGATATTTTTTTGAACCATTTCATTGTAATTTTGGGCTCAATATTTATTTTAAGCTTAATTATGTACCAGTGGAGTAAAAATGGCAAATTAGAAATATAATTATAATACTAATCACTCCAGAATATTTTGAAGGATGGATGCATTTTTTCAGCCTATAGCCCATACTGCTCCCACATGACCTCTTTTTATTAACCCCTTGCACTGTATGATTTTCCTTTTGGAATTTCAATCAAAGTGATATTCTAGGCACAAATAATGTTTTATTTAGCTTTATTGCTGTGTAGTTTATCATCAGATACATTGATTAGTGCCCTCTGGTGTTTGACAGGTGCGTTTCTCATGGCTGTTTTTCGCCGGAGCCATCCCCGTGTTCCTCTCCTTCTTCATTGCAACTCTTTTGTGCCACTACAACAACTGGGACCCGGTGCTGGTGGGACTGAGGAGGGTCTACAGCTTCATCTGTAGAAAACATCGGCTGCAGAGGTAAAAGTCAGGGCATACACAGGTTTCAGCATTATGAAAAATTAGGACTGTTGTCATGGCAATAAACAATTTAAACCAAAATATCTTTTGAATGGCTCTCAAAATACCACATAACAGGAGGCTGAAACACATATAGATTATTTTAGGGCTGGGCAAAATGACAAAGAAATATTGAAAGATCACAGTCCTGTTTTTGTTTTTCTATTAGATTTTGCCTTATTAAAAATTAATATTAATTTCCTGAACATAAACATTTAAAAACTGTCATTTAACACAAAAAAATAGTCAGATTGCTTCATGCAAAGTCTGAGCTCCAAACCACATGCTTTTAGCAAAGACAGGCTGTGAGCCTTTTTATTAAAAAGACCATAGCTGATCATTGAAAAGAAATAACTGAATTGCAATTAAAATTTCTCTATTTGCACAGCCCACACTGTTACCAGGCAATTTGTATTATAATACAAAATTGTAAAATTGTATTATAATAACTGTTTTGGGAGTAAAATTTGCTGTTGCTTCTTTTAGATTTATTAAGCATTGTACTACATTATGTATATGAAGAGAATGTTTTCGGGTTTTTTGTTTGTTTGTTTGTTTGTTTTTAGCACCAAAGGCCAATATTGTTCAGACAGTGAGCTACACAAAACTGCAGCTTACAATTAAGACAATGCATCAATCAGTACAATGTCTTATTACGTCTATTTGTAGGACAAAACAGGATATCAGTCCAGCATTTTTTTCTATATTGATGCCAATATCCATTACCAGTATCCATGCATCCCTCCTTGTAACATACACTACTTATATTGTTTTATGTATTATTAACACAAAATGAACAGAAAAATGTGTTTCACTCTATTAGCCTATGTTGTTTTTAAGGTAACACATTGTTTTATACAAAGATTAATGTCCCTGTTTGCACATCCCTGTCATTTCAAGGACTGGCAATAATTATTAACTTTATGCTGTCTCAGTTTCATTCCAGCTCAGTGACTAAACCATTAAACAAATGAATTCAAAATGTACTAAATGCTAGCACTTAACATTATACATTTGGGGTTATACTGTTTTGGATATGGAAAAGCACTATATTAAGTGAGACGTAATATTTCATTAAACATATGTAGAAACATGGAGACAAGCAGGTGACACTAACAGGTCATGTTATAGGTCAGATCTGTGGAGAGGCTACCTCTCACAGAGAATGCAAGTTTTTTCTAGATATGTCTAAGCTACTTTGAACTCATAATGCAGTACATGTTTAACTCCATATTCTCAATACAGATTTTGCTTAAGATTAATGATTGTATATATTTAGACAATATAATGTCATTTTAAATTTTCTTACTCAATATTGATATTTTTGACAAGATTTGAAAATGTCACCAATTTATTAAGCAAAAACTGCTTACATAAAATGGTACATATGAAGCAGTTTGAAATGCCCTGAATGAATTTTCCTTAAACTCAGTGGGAAAAAGTGACTTCTGAACTGAAACATTTAGTTTGAAAGCAAACATCTGCTCTTCTGTTATCTTGTTATTACAAATTAATCCTGTATTACTAATACATTGGTCACATCTCTGTCTGTGTTTGGCGGATGTAGCTCAGGTCCAGACAGCGATTTTCCACCAAACGCAGTTACTTTGGCATTTTCTAAAAGGGTAAACAGACACTGAGGCTTAATGGTGAGCCGCCCCTCCACAGTCTCTCAAATGGAGGATTTCAACACAAACACATCTGGGCCTGAGTTAATTAAGCACCTGGTCTCTGTGCAAAGAGCTGTGAAATATCAGAAAACTCAAAACCGAACACTCCAAAGACTAGAAGACTAGAAGACTTAAGAGTTATTTGATAGTAATGTTTGATGAAGAATAACTTGCACAAATTAGGGTTGTACTAAAACTATCAAACTAGATACTCATTGTAGCAGGTCTCCTAAACAAGTCACATTCACAGGACAGAAATTAACCTTTCCTGAATAGGTTTAGAAAGATCTTGAGCTGTATGAGAAGTATAAGACCACTTAGACTTGTATGTATCCAAGGACCATTAAATTGACATTAGAATCCTTTTTTAAATTTTTTTTAAATTATCATTGTGGTATAGGAATCGGTAAAACTGACCTTGAAATTTTTTTAAAATTTAGTAAATTTGAATATGAAATATTAAATATAACTGTTAACATAGCTTTAGCTTTTGCTCATTGTAGTACCACAAACTTGACATTTGATGACTAACTATAGGGAGTAAGTGATATTTACACTTCACAAATTGAATTAGATGAAATAATTCAAATGAAAGTAATCTGTGCCTCCTTGTCATAACAAAATGTATGGGAAACACTGATGGCCACAGAGGATTACTCAAACATGCACAAATCAGTATAAATACAACATAACATCATCATAACATGGTTAAAAGCTCATTCAACTTGATTCTGTATGCCCCTTGTAGAGCTGATTTATTTAATGCAGAAAAACACAGTTGTTGGTATCTATCATCAAAGGGTGATGCATGTGGAACTGTTAAACAGTTTTAGGCCAGCACTATATAACACAATTGAATCACAATTGCAAAATTGAGCACACTTATTAAATAGCAAAGGCTGCAATTATTTTCATAATAGAATGTCCTTTGCAAACAACCTCTTTTTATAGAAATGCATCAGTTTCTAGTATTAGTTTATCAGTTCATATTTCTGTCTTCTCTCAAATGTCAGTGCTCCTGGAGTTTACAGTGGGCTCTCTGAGTAGAATTGTACCTTTAAAACATAAATTGCAAATCTGTATATCACAGTATATGGTAAATGGTCACATTTTTCTATAGCGCTTTTCCACCTTCAAGGCACTCAAAGCGCTTTACAACAAGGAACCACTCACCCATTCACACACATTCATACACCACTGTACGCAGACACTGTGGGCAAGGTGGGTTAAGTGTCTTGCCCAAGGACACAATGACAGCATTCATCCGAGGGAGCTGGAATCACCAGCCAACCCGTGGGTCAGTGGATCTGACCTCTCAACCTGTGATGTTTATGTCGAGAGCTGGATTCGAACCACCAACCTTCAGATCAGTGTTCTGATTGAAGGTTGTTGCTCTACTAACTGAGCTACTGCCGCCCAATGTTGCAATTGGATTTTTGTCCCCATTAATAGTATTTACAGATTTAAACAACTAAACTTTTTAATCATTTGTTTGAGATTTGAGTTGGCTGCCTTATCATAATCCACTTTTCAAAACTGTCTTTAGTTTAGAAGCAACTGCCTGAGCAATAATAATGTATAGCTGCAGTCAAAGCCTTTCAAAGACTACAGTAGGTGAATTTTAAAAGGATAGGATCAATATGGTGTAAATGCCAAAACAAGCACACCTTTTGCTTCTTTTCTTTTTTATTCTCACATTGGAGAGAAAAGAACTGTCTATTTTGGCATTGCCCGTAACACCGAACTATTAAATATCCCTGAAATGGGTTAAATTTGTGGAGTGGATGTCTTGGAGGTTATATTCCAGCTCAAACCAGTTCATACTGTTGTAGTATACTTGGGAAAGACACTTAACCCAAATCTCCTATGTGAATGCTGTGTGTGTGATTGGTAATGGTGGTTGAAAAGGTATTTGGCAGAGATTAACAGCTAGCTACAGAAGTTAATGAATAATGGCCTAAACTAGCACTTTGAGAAACTTGTCCAAGTGTAAACCATGATTCTTATTAGTGTATACTGTAAGGGTACACTATTTACATTTTCTGATCGAGGGGTCTGCTGCCTTCTTGTCTCCTGGAATATTACACAGTGTGACATTTAAAGGTACACTATGTAACCTTTCTGGTGGAGGGCACTTTGTTCTACACTACAGTATAGCATTGACTGACTCCATGGAGACAAGCAGGTGACCTCATCAGGCCAATTTACAGGTCAGATCTATGGAAAGGCAAATTTCATTCACAAATACAACATAGATATGCTTAATACCATACTGTGTAACATTCCTGTCAGAGCAATAAAATGTCCATTGAGATAAGCAAATGGCGTTACACACATCTATACTGCATTTATTCAATTATAGGCATTTTTATTGTTCAAAATGAGCAGACTTACCTCTCCACAGATCTGGCCTGTAATTTGATTGCGATAAGTTTAATGCCATACTGTGGAACACGAGACAGCAGGTGACAGACCATTGATTAGAAAAGTTCCATGGTCCACCTTTTAAGTAATTTATTCAGGCTTTCCCCCCAGATGAGCCCGTCCTTACTTTGTCTGGTTGAAGCATGTTTATATAGATCTGTGTTGTCTTCATTGAGAGCATCGGCTTGATTGACAGTTGGTTCTTTGTGTCTACAGACTCCCAGACGACAGTGAACAGTGCGAAAGTCTGATTCCTCTAAACACCATCTCTCCACACGAGGCCGACTATTGCTCCTGATCAGACCAGTCACGGTAAGGACAAAGCCAAAACACACACTTTTTCCATTTTCAACATGGTCATTTCATCTGTTATTATAGTTTTGGTTCACGTGATATCATAACAATCTAAACTGCCCATAGTTCAAAACTGAGCTCATAGACTGCATCAGATTGTACCTTTTATCTGTGGAAATGCAGATGTTATGACCTGGTTTATGGTTAGTATCTTTATTTCTACTGGCATTGACACGAAGTTGAATGTATTCTCTGTCAGTATACAAAAACTTCGTTCTTTCTTATTTCTTTCACAATAGCTTCATACCCCTGGAGGTACACAATCACTTCTAATTATTTCAGTTTTAAAAGTTTAATTGAATTGTAAAATTATAAAACGGATTATAAAATGCTCTTTGTAGTTTGCCTGTGATCTAGAAACACACTCCTTACTTTGCGAAGATGTGAGTCTGTTCACTGGTGAATTTGTCCATATCAATATCAAAACAAATATGGCCGCTAAGGAAAAATACCACACATGAGCGAAGTACTATCTCTGTTCTGAGGTGAGGGAAATGTGATGTCACAAAAAAAATAAAATAAAATCATCAAGATGTAAGGGAGGGCACGGGGGACAAACTGACGTCCATCTCTATAAAAACAGTCTTGAAAAAGTCTTAAATTTCATGTACCTAAATTAAGGCCTGAAAAACTCCTTAAAAGGCCTTAAAAATATGTTGTCCACATTATCACCGAGCGTTACCACCGAGCGTCACCACCGAGCCGCCTGGCATGCATACCCAATCCAATTCCACACACTTTTGCATCACTGTATGCACGCAGATTTCCTCTTGAAAATGCTTGTCTAAACGTGGAATAAAAAGTGAAGACGCTATGCCACTTCTTTGTCTTCTGTTAGGACCGTCATCATATAAACATAGCCTTAGATTCTAGATATAGTACCTGTAGTTGGTTGGTCATTATTAGAATTAGACCTGGTATTTTTCGCCTGTATAATGGGTGCGACGTTGGTCTTAATTTTCATTTAAGTGGTCTTAAAAAGGTCTTTAAAAAGTCTTAAATTTGGAGTAGTCAAATCCGGGGACACCCTGAGAAAATACAGAGAGATATCATTCTGGATTTCTGGATTTTGTAGTAAATTATGCATCCTTAAAAGCTTCTATAGGGTAATTCTGCCATTAAAACAAGAAAAAATAGTTACCAATATACCAGTTATCAGATGTATGACTAAAGAATCACCAGTACACGATATAGGTGGTATATGCTGCGACTTGAAAACAACCAAAAGCCCAAGTGAGTTTTAACTAGTGAGGAGCAGTTTCCACCATTTCACAATCTTCAGCATGTCTGTCTCCTCTTGTGTCCGACACCTCTGGAGTTTAGACAGCCATGACTTGGACAGGAAGATCATGTCCTAAATATTTAAGACTCAACCAGGCCACCCACTGCCAAAACCACATCTCTCTGTCTCTGTCTATCTTCCTCTCTCTATCTCTCATGGCTTTTAGATGTAATTTCATGTTGCTAGAATGGTCATGTAAGAAATGTTTTGGCAAGTCAAAGTTTATCTGTTTGTCTATGTATCTTTAGTTCTCTCTCTCTCCTTAGCCTGTCTATCTGTCTCTCTCTCTTCTCTGTCTCTATCTATTTAAATATCTATAATTATCTCTCTGTATCTCTGTAAGTTTATCACTCTATCTTTGTGTCACACTGTATTTCTTTTACTCCATCTCTCTTTGTCTGTCTCTTTCCCTATCTCTCTCTCAAATCTATCTCTCTCTCTCTCCCTGTCTCTCTCGCTCTCTTTTGGGCTTCCTCTCTGTATTTCTTTTACTCTCTTTCTCTCTCTCTCTCCTCTTTATCTCTTTCTCTGTCTCTCTCTAGCTCTAGATCTATATGCTTTCTGTTTCTCCCTGCTTATCGCTCTCTCTCTGTCCTAGTCTGCCTATCTGTCTCTCTCTGTCTCTATCTATTTAAATATTTAGATTTATCTCTCTCTCTCTCTCTCTATCTATCTCTCTATCACCTTCTCTTTATGTCTGTCTTTATGCTTTATTTCCTTTACTCCATCTCTCTCTGTCTCTTTATCTGTCTTTATATTTCTTTGTCTCTTTCTCTCTCTCCCTGCATCTCTTTATCTATACGTCTCTCTTACTCTCTGTCTCTATATCTCACACACACACACACACACACACACACACACATACGCACACATGCACATACGCACACACACTCTCTCACCCCTTCTTATACTCTCTCTTTCTCTATCTTTTACTCTTTCTGTCTCTTTCCATTTCTTTCTCTCTCTCCCGCTTTCTCTTTCCCTATCTCTGTTTCTTTTACTCTGTCTGTCTCTCTTTCTCTATTTCTTTTACTCTTTCTGTCTCTCTCTGTCTCGCTCCACCTCTCTCTCTCTATCCATCCTTTGCTATCTATTTATCTATCTTACTCTCTCTCTTTCTGTTTTACTCTTTCAGTCTCTCTCTCCATCTCTCTCGCTATCTATCTATCTATCTATCTGTCCATCTCTCGCTATCTGTTTATCTCTCTATCTTACTCTCTCTCTCTTTCTCTCTCTCTATTTCTTTTACTCTTTCTGTCTCTCTTCATCTCTCTATCTATCTCTCGCTATCTATGTATATCTCTGTCTTACTCTGTTTTACTCCTTCTCTCTCTTTCTCTCTCTCTCTTTTTCTTACTTTTTCTGTCTCTGTCTCTCCATCTCTCTCTTTCTTTCTCTCTCTATCCAACTATCTATCTATCTATCCATCTCTCGCTATCTGTCTATTTATCTTTCTATCTTACTCTCACATACTCCTTTTCTCTTTCTCTCCCTGTCTGTCTCTCTCTTTTTCTCTCCCTGTCTCTCTCTCTCTCTCTTTCCAAGATACACTGTAGTTTGGTCAGGCATTTTCGTATCTGTCTCTCTAACTGAAAGGAAAAGCTGAGAGGAGGAGGTGAAGGCAGATTTGGAGCTCAGCATGTGGCTCTAATCGAGGACTCAGAACCGAACGACAACAAAGTGATTTGGAGTTAAAGCGGTCTGTCAGACGTGGTGCGCTACTCAAAACACAAATTAAGCACATCCCAGTCTGAAGATCTGGTGTTGAGCTACTAGTCATCAGGATCTCACAATATTGGCAGATAAATGTGCAGTATTAGCTGAGGCTGCAAGATGACTTTTTAGAATATTTTGTACGCATTGGCCTTCGTATTTCCAGTAGTATGATGTAGAATAATGTGTGTTTCTTGCCCAAATACCCCCAAAACTGTAACTACAAATCAACAATAGAACATGCTAGACTAAAATTTCCCAGTGGAATAATTCAGGAGATTCAGCTTTCTGTTCATAGGTGACATTTTGAAGAGTTTTGGCCAGTCAGAAGATCAAATATTTTGTTTAGGATTGTTAATTGCTACGACAACAAGTTTTAACATAGGGCTGGGTATCATTAAGAAGTTGCCGATACAATACATTCCTCAGTACATAGGCCACGATACAATACATATCTCAATACATTGCACTTTCGATTCGATAGGATATATTTTAAATCAATTCGGTATGGTTCAATAAAAAATACTGGCTAAAGCATCGCTTGTTCAATGTTCATATGAAACACACCCATTTTAATCAAATCAATACAGTGAAAATGTCAAATGTGTCGCATAAACAAGTTTCCTTCCACTAAACAAGCAACAAAACTGTAGCTCTGTAACAAAATAATTGAGTAAAATATACCAAAAATACACTTGGTGATATATCGATACAGCAGCCAACGATAGCGATACTGTATCATCACTTGAAACGATACATTATATCGATATTTCAGTATTTTTGCACAACCCTATTAAAACAGTGCCTGCATGTTAAGTTATATAAAGACAATTTTTGCCCCAACATGATTAAAAGTGGTTCATAACTAGTAAGGAAAAAATTTGTTCCATGTGTGTAAATCAGTGGTTTCCAAGCGGTAGCTCTCTACTCCCTTCCAAGTAGCTTGCCAAGGGATTTCTGAATTATATGTATTGCGCTGCATACACTGAAATTGATTAAATGCCTGAAATGTCATGAAAAAGTCAAAGTTTTGAAATTTTGTCAGTGAAAAAGCTCTGTTTACTTACTTAACCCTGTTAATTAATGGCTAATGGTTTATGTTTTATAGACATCTAACTGTACCCTACCTAAGGCTCGCCATGGCTTTTATATTTACTCAATTACTTGTGACCGCTAAAACTAGTATCTCTCTGGCATTTTCATTTTGTGAAAGTAGCTCGCTGGAGAAAAAAGGCTGGAGACCTCTGGTGTAAATTGTCCCTGCATTTTGAATGGAATTTTGTGGATTGATAAAGGAATAGATAGAGGATTGCTTTTTCCTGTCATTTTTACCAAAATTTCATCGAAAACTTTGATGTAACTGATGTAAAAATATGATAAATATTATTTAATTAAGTACTATCCAACAAAGTGATATTTAAATAAAAAATAAAAAAATGCCATTTGTGCTTTAACCCTTTAACTCTTTGAATGCTTCTTGTCTCCTGCAGATTTCCTGTGAGTTTAAACTGACTGAGATGAAATGAACTGACAATCTCTGAGACATTCACCTGTGCCTGCTCCTCATTCAACTATTTATTTAACTTTATGAAGAAGACTCAAGCTACACTACATGCCTGTTTTGGACATTTGCAGATTTTCTTTCTACTATTACTAGATAGTACTGAAGGTGCTGGACAGTCATCAATATGTGACCAAAACAAAATGGTACGACTTGAAAATGGCTGTAAACAAGGCCAAAATGCTGTGTTTAAATATATATAATACCACTAATTGTTCCCCGTACAATTTGCCTATAACTTTAAAACACCCTATAGCTGCTGTATAGGCAAAAATAAATGCACACTAATATTTACTTGCCGTCTCATGTGAAGTTGAAATGACTCAAGTTTGTAATATGGGCCTAATTTTGCAATGTTATACAAATTCTGGCATAAATAAATGCTTTATCTATCCTCAAATGGCAGGGTTTTGCTATTAATAATTTGGTTAGTTACCAACCCTTGCTTGAAGTTGGTATACAGTATTTGGCCCTTTCTGACAAATGTATAAAGGTAACAGGGTAACACTTCCACTTCTACACTTTAGTAGGTCCCCAGATGTTTCGCAAACAATTCATACGTCACAGTTCATGACAATGGACAAAAGATAAGAATAAAAAAAAGATAATTTAAGTGAAATGAAAAGTGAAACAATAAGAACCTTAGTAAAGCATGAACTAAGACTTAACAAATTGTTCGTTAAGAATGACTCAGGCTTTGGATATTAATTAAGTAGTTACTAACTCCTAACTATTTAACTGAGTAGTTACTAAACCTGAGTCATTCTTAACAAACTTAATAAATAAACTTATAAACTTAATTAATAAACTATTTGCACATTAGAAATTAAAGGTGTAACATGTAACTTTTGTGGATGAGAGTCCACCACCTGCTTGTCTCTATGGAGATGCTAATACTTGGCCTGGATTGCTCCGCAGTATGATATAATCTTTATGAAGAGAAGCAGGTGAAAAGTTCTGTGTCAGATCTATGGAAATGCACTGTGTTTGTGTTTTAAGGTGTTATTTTGCAGTTAAAACACTTATTTGAGTGTTTTGAAACTCAACTACCCTGCATTTATTCAATTATGTAACAAAATCCTATGAAACATTTCATGCAAAGCAGTAGTATCATCATGGAACCACAAAAGTTACACAATGCACCTTTAAGTCTATCTTCTTTATGCTTTATTATGGTTATAAGGTTCATTCAGATTTATTTATGTTTGAATTTGTTGCATCTACCTAAAAAAATCCTAAACTATCACTGAAATTCTTATGTATAAAATCTTTTTGAGCCAACTTAAAATGTTTAGAACATTTCCAGAGAATTTATTTTCCATGATTATTAGCGCTATTATTATATCTATTGGGGGTGAAACGGGTTGATTTATTGATAATAAGGTCCTCTTAAGCTCTTCATCTTTCATAATTTTACACTCTCTAAAAATTCAAAATTTCAACATTTTATTTCATTGATTATTTGAAGCGTCCAATGACTTTAAAAAGCTGTAAAAATTTTATGTTATTTTTATGTAGTTTTTTCTGTTGCCTCATGTGTCTACGCTGAAGGAGTTTTGTCAATATTGTCTGGCTCATTCTGTGAAGTTTATTGTTCAGTTTTATGGAGTGTTTTCATTGCCGTGACTGGACTGACCGCAGAAGTCACTATCCGCCTTTTATGGATCTACAAACTGTATTGACTTTTACTGTTGCACTTGTTATCTCACGTTTGCCAATCATCTTAAATCTGTCAAAACTGCACTCTTGTTTTGAGTTTGTTTTTAAAAATTACTTTATAAATGGTGCTTTTCTGTTGGGTTCAGTGCAGTTTCATTATATATTTAAGTGTCTTAAATGAAGATTTAAAGGCTGTGATTCACTGTAATTTTATTGTTTTAGTCCAGAATTTTATCATCATATTTACAGTGCACTATTAAAATGTATCTTTTCAAACTTGTCAAACTTTTTTTATTGCATTGGTTTCAATTTAGGAAGTCAGGAATTACTTAAAGGTGTTATATTACGCAAAATGAACTCTTGTGAACTTTAAGCCATGTTGTTGAATGTTTCTTAATCAAAAACATCCCTTTAGTTGTGTTTTGTTTTATTCACACGTGTCTGAGTAATCCTTTATTTTTATGTCTGCATCTCCAAAGCTCAAAATTCTTTGTTCCACCTTGTGATGTCATGAAGTGGTAGTTTTCAAGTTAAAAGCTATCTTTTATTTTTTGATCAGTACAGACAGGCAGCAGGCCTCAAATCACCCAAATGGCTAAAGCTAATGTGTAGAGTTTAAAAACACAGTGGAACACTTCCTGTATTACCACATGAAATCACAAGGTGGAAGTGTTTTCAGTTTTAGAACTCAGCCTAAATATGCAGGCTTTATGTGTTAAAGATATCTAAATGAAGCCAAACAAAACTCCGGGTCTGTTTTTGATTGAGGGATCAACGTAGATTGTAACATTGTAACATAGATTAAAAAAAAAAGAAAAGAAAGAAATATGAGCCCAAAAAATGCAACTATTGTATTTGGGTTCACGTTAGCCAAAATTCAAATGTGAAAACTTCACTAGTTCTATTCAAAGGCAATATTTTTTTTAATCAGCTTTCAGCAACCTATTATTATTTTTCATTATACTGTAAGTGGTATATTCATATTTTGCATATCTAAAACAATCCTTTCAATACTTTTTTCATTTTTGATATACTGCCCACCTAATTTGAAGTACAGTTTTGCTTTGACAAATAAGACACTTATTTAAACATTTTATTAAGCCAATGGAAAAAACACCGAACTGTCAGTATGAATGTCTGTGTCAACAGAATAAATTTAGAAGTATAACCAACCTTGCATTTGAAGGATATCTGAGCAGCAGCGAGTTGTACTTCCTGAGAGAAAGCTTGGCAGTGGCGGACTGACATCCAGCACCTACCTTAACGGCAAAGTAAAATTCTGCTGTTGCTGAGAAAATAGTCCCTAACATGCGACGATTCATGCGATGCAAGGTTAGTTTTATTTCTAACATTATTCTATTGACACAGACATTTACAGTTGACAGTCTGACGTAATAATAGATTTGCTTCTGGTGTTTTGTGGAGTATGTAAGACTGTTTTTAGTGGCAGGATAACTATGGCCATTGACATGCACTAGACTAGCACCAGCGACCTCTGCAAATACAAGGACCGGATGGAATATTTAAAAAAGTGTCTCCACACATCTCCCAACACTCTGGCTCACTAGGAAATGAGGTCCTATGTTCAAAATTCTGGACTGTCCCTTTAAGTCACCTGATGACCTCCCTCATTATTGTATGAACCACTATGAATATATATAAAAATACATTTAAACAGAAATAGTCTATAATTGTATTTCCTATTAGTTCTGTAAATGTCTGTTGTATTTCAATACAACTTGTTCCTGTCTGAACTTCCCCTGCTCTATAAGGCTCACTGTTGACCCATGGCTATCCTCCTACAGTTTCTAAGTACTTTGACATTTACTTCAGACCCGATTTACTCCAAAGATCTCCAGTTCAAATGAGATGGTCCTTGTTCGTGTCCCTTATACCAACTTCTACTGTTATCACCAGGATCAAACCAATCACTTTGAGAGCTTCAGTTATGTAAGATGAGTTTAAAGATTCTACATTACACAAAACGGACTCTTCTGAGCTTTAAGTCAGGTTATAATGTTGTTTCTTCCTCAAAAACATATCTGGACTTATGTTTTGTTTCATTCACACATATCTGAGTAACCTTGAGCAACTTCATTATAAGTCAAAAATGCTCTGTTCCACTTTGTGATGTCATCTAGTGATAATTTTCAAGTTAACAGCTACTTTTTATCTTTTCTTCAGTAGAGATTGGCACTTCCAGGACTGAAATTATCCAAATGATCCTTGTGAAGGTGTATGGGGTTTAAAAACATAGTTGAGCACTTCCTGTATTACCACATGACATCACAATGTGGGAACAGAGTGTTTTCCGTTTGAGAGAAGAACTCAGCCTAAATATGCAGGGTTTGTGTGTTAAACATGTGTGAATGGAACAAAACACATGTGATAAAGAAACATTATAATACAGATCAGAAAATAATAATAAAGCATAATAAGTGTCCTTTAAACTTTAATCACTTAAGCCAGAGTTTTAAAAGCAACAATTATACATATTTGCCATAATTCAGTGCATTTTGAAGCAATTTTTATGTAACATTTCTGAGGAAAGGGCCACCACCTGCATCTCTACGGAAATGTTAATGCTTTGCTTAGAATGTTGCACCTTCTTAAAACATGTCTATCCCCAAGTAGACAAGCATGACAAGTTACAGTTCAGATCTGTGGAGAGGCAACCACACTCACCAAGAATGCAAGTTTTTCAAAGTACTTTTGAGCATTAAAATCTCTTGTAATTATAATAAATGACAGTATCATGCCTTAGTGATGAATAATCTGGACAAAGCAATAACATCTCTTTTAAGACAAGTAGGTGGTGGATCTTCCCGCTTCTATCATATGAATACTTTGCAGTGACATCACGCTGGGGGTGTTCTACATACAGTACGTCCTGTTTAGGGGTTTTCAACAAAAGAATTAACAGTGACTAACTGTAAAAATGTTGGCTAATGTGAGCTAGAACTTGTTAAACAATACAAATCATCTAATTTGTTGTAGTTCCAATTTATGTACGTCACTTACTTATGGTCAGATCGTAGTCGAACAGAGCTTCAGACAGTCGTGCCTATTTAGCCAGGCTGGTGTGACCTCATGCCTCCGCTCAATTTCATTTCTCTCCAGTGACTAGGTCAGGTATCAGAATACACTGGATCGTTCGCAAAAACCCCGGAAGTGCAAGTTCGGGCACCAGCCAATCAGCGAAGAGTCATATATTCAGTGTTGTCAACAATTCCCGAGATCGAGGATTTAAAGCTGTAACAAAGAGAATGTTTGGTGAATTTCATCAAGGGGAAAGATGTTATTGCCCTTCTTCCTACAAGATTTGGGAAAAGCTTAATATACCAGTTAGCCCCGTTAGCGGCGCATTACATACGTCAGGATCAAATTGCAGCAATTGGTTAAATAATAAAAAGTACCCGCCTGCTGTTGAGCGAATTAATTCTAACACTGTGATGTCAGACAGTTTGTACGAAGTGAAACAAAGTAAAACCGGCTGATGGAATCAGGCTACCTATAGTTAGCATCACACCCCGAAGGGAATGTTGAGGACATCAGCAATGATGTATCAACTACTATTTTTTATTTATTTATTTTTCACATCACAACAATGTACAGGTCAATAATATTTCATACAGGTGAAATATTATATTATTATACAGGTGGTAAAATTAACATTCTAATATCTAATGACTATAGAAATGGTCAAATTTAACATTTGTGTTTACCTTTTGAATATTTCATGACAAAGTACAATGTAATCAGTAAGATATCACGTAGAATCTAAAAAACACCAATTTGTGTAATTTCTTTTTCAGTATCGATACTTAACTACTCAAAAAAACAACAACAAAAAAACAAGAAATAGCTCATTTTACATGGAAGACAATGTCCAAACAGAAGATTTTAACATTTTGTCTTTGTTAATAAAGACAAAACAATAAAAAAAAAAAATTAAAAATTTATTTAAAAACTACTAAATTACTACTGCTACTGGAGTTTAAATGAATCAGATCCCCTCTCTTTAACAATTCCTCTTAATGTCTATCTAAATGCTTTTTATGAGTAAGAGGAACATGTTGTAATTAATGGCGATAAGAGACGTATGGGGCGGGCTGCCTGGACTTCTGTTTAATGTTTAACGGCCCTGCCTTTGTCAGTGGGAGGAGGGAAACCGCCTGTTGGCTCATACTTTGGTCATAGAAGGCTGAAACTACAAGACTTCAAGCTAGTATCAAGACAAACTAGCAAAGAATTCAACACTATGGAGCTACACGGATGTTGGATCAATGTTTAAAACGAAAATATTGGATTTTTGAAGAGGAAATTTGTCCGCAGTGCCTTTCCAAGAGGAGATTTTGTACACAATCTGAAACTAACCTGATAACAATTCAATCAATCGCTGGTAAATCAGTGCTTATCTAATGTCCACACTGAGCGAAGTCATGGACGAAATTGAAATCGCCGAGGACAAAAACTGGGAAGAGCTAGAGCCAAATTATTCCTTAAAAATTTTCTTGACAATTTTGTACAGCCTCATTTTGGTGACTGGAATCGTGGGTAATTCAATAACAATCCGAGTTACGCAAATTTTGAAAAGGAATGGATATTTGCAGAAAAACGTTACCGACCACATGGTTAGCCTAGCGTGCTCCGACTTGCTAGTGCTGATAATCGGAATGCCAGTGGAGTTATATAACGCAATTTGGTTTCCGTTTTCCTCCTCATCTGGTAACGTTTCCTGCAAAATCTACAACTTTCTTTTCGAAGCATGCAGCTACGCCACGATCCTGAACGTGGCTACGCTTAGCTTCGAGCGCTACGTAGCTATCTGTCATCCATTCAAGTTCAAGACATTGGGAGGGAAGAGGACGTCAGGGCTAATAACGTTTGCGTGGTTGGTATCCGTGCTAGTAGCTTTGCCGCTATTGGTCGCCACGGGAACACAAGGCCATATCCCGTTTAACAAAGACACGCCAGCTCAGAATCTAACTTTTTGTACAAACTTGCGGGATAAGTGGGTGATGTTTCGAGTTAGCATCTTCATAGCGTTTATAGTGTATATGATCGTGCTCGTCGGTGTGGCGTTCATGTGCAGAGCCATGATCCTGGTTTTGAGAAGACCGCTGAGCACGGTGGACAGAGAAGCCAATGGGAGCTACGTGGCACCAAAACACGAAAGTCCCAAAGTGAAAATGGCCCGGAAGCAGACCATTATTTTTCTAGGTAAGTCAAAATCTTATATCTATTCAATTGTGTGGTCTTAACCTGTCTTGTCATATGCTATGCAGGGGTGTAGTGGGCATGGTACGCAGGGGTACCCCGTCCACCCACTTTTCCAGATGTGAGATATAAAAAATAACAAATATAAAATCCTACAACTTAAATGTCAAACCAGAACTATTGGCAATGGTAAAAAACAACCTGCATAGGCTCATGATAGCTGCAGTACTGTCCTATAGTGACCTGCCACATGAGGGGACCAGGACTGAACCAGGACTGAACCAGGAGGACTAAACCAGGACTGAATCAGGACTAAAACAGGAGTAAACCAGTACCAAATCAGGACTGATCCCAGAACTGACCCAGGAGGACTACATAAGGACTGAACTAGGACTAAAACAGGACTGGTCCCAGGACTGAACCAGGAGGACTAATCAAGGACTGAACAAGGACAAATCAGGACAAAAACAGGACTAAACCAGAACTGAACCAGGACTGAATGTCTGGATGGGCCCGGAGGTGCACCCGCGTAGACTATAGGGTGACTGCAGGAGAAAGGTCCTGGTTTAGTCCTGGTTTAGTTCTGTGTAGTCCTGGTTTAGTCCTGGTTCAGTTCTGGTTTAGTCCTTGTTCAGTCCTGGGCACATGTGTTGTAGTTTATGATTTATGTTCTGTAGGTGATTATAAATAGTGTTAATGTTAATGACATGATTCCGCATCATTTTGAGAAAAAAAAACAAAACATCAAATATTAGAGATTTTTCCTGGGTTGACGCCTTTATGTTTGTGCTGAAAGTGGGTGATTTTTTTTTGTTTGTTTTAAAGGTAGTTAAGTTGGTGGGATTCATCCTATTGATGACGTCACGAATCGCATACCCCCACTTAAAAAATCCCCACTACATTGACTCTAACTTCTGCACATACGTAGGTATGTGCAGAAGTTAGAGTTTTGGCCTAGACTCTTGTGAATGAGTCGGCTCTTTTGAGCAGTTGAGTGTAGTCTTATTTTTTAAAAGAACCAGATCTTTTTCTTTCAAATTTTTATAACAGTTGACGCTTTGAACCAACATAAAAATCTGCACAGAAGCAGAGTAGGCAACACGGGCGAGAGCTGGGGAGCATATGTTCCCTCAGCTCTATGTTCCCATATTTCCTTTATCATCAATTTGCATCAGAATTTATCCCCATTTCTCCCAATTTGGTTGTCAATTAAATCTGACCTATTAACCAGCAGCATGAATACAGCTGTAATGTAGAGGTCATGGTGCAAAGATTCCTAGGTTGAAATTATTCTGAATCATCCCTTTAAATGCAGTATAAAAATAAAAATTACTTGATTTAGAGTTTAATTTTGAGGAAAAAATCGTATAGAAATAAGAAAAATCTTAGAAGTAAGGGAACACAGGGCTGAGGGAACATATAGAGCTGACCCAGAGAGCTTTGTGCAAGTTTTATTTAGAATTCCAAATGGTAAACACAATTCCACTTTGAGTTTGAACCATTTTAAACATCACGTTGGCTTCTCTCATATAAATAAATATGAAGAGAGCCAGTCTTTTGAACGGCTCTTTGAAATGGACACATCCAAAAGATTCGGATCCCATACAAGAGATGAATGTCCCATCGCTTATCCATGGAGGTAACCATGTGATGTCAGACCAGATCAGATGATCTGTGGAGAGGCGAGCCCAATACTGACAAATTCATTCACACTATTACTTTAACATATTCTACTGGTTGAACTGAAGTAGACGTAATTGTTATCCATGGCTCTATTTTGTTCAATAAAGGACTAAACTACTTTCTAAAGTCCATGAGAAAAAAAACACAATTAAGCAGATTATACTTAAAATGAACAGAAGCTTAATTAAACATGCATTCCTCTCATTCAGCCCCTAGCTGTAAAAGACATCTGTTCCGCATGTCTTATCTTATTATGCCTATATAGTATATATAGTACTGCCTCAAATGTATATGTGTAAAACAGAGCTGTTAAGTTTAGTTCGGGTAGATTTCTGTGTGTTTGGACAATGTGTGTGATGGATTTCCGACGTGCCCTCTCATGCTCTCACTGCTCTGCTTCAGGGTGTGCTCTTGACCCAAACTACTAGTGTAAACACAAATTACTGGAAAGCATCTGTTCATTCCACCTGTCAACAGAAATAATGATAAGACAAATATTTTAACTCACAGTTGTAAAGTACTTGTGAACAAATTAACAATTTACATGAACATTGGCTCAGGGTTTTGAAACATGTATTGACTTATGTAATGCTGAAATTATGTTCAAATTATAGGTATAACTTTTGAAATTTGAAATTGTGTCAAAATTAAAGTAATCTCGCCCAGCCCTGCCAAAAATGCACATTGTCCTTGTGTTTTTTTGGGTGCTCTGGTTTCCCTTATAAGGCATTATCCATCTAAATGGAGACATGCAGTTGATGCCACCGTGGCAAGTAGCCTGTTTTTAAGCAATAAAAACATCTGTACCAGAATAAATGTAAGATAGATAGATTTCATGCAATACCGTGGAACATTTCAGACAAATCAATAACATCTCTATAAAGGTAAGCAGGCAACAGACCCTCAACCAGAAAAGCTACATAATTCAACTTTAATTGAAGGTTAAAAAAGAGTGTTTTGTGACCTTAGTGACATTAGCAGCTCAGAACCTGCACAACCTGCACCAGTCACACCAGAGCAAACACACAGTGAGTCACAGAGGAGAAACATGTTTTGAGATCACTTATATCCATGTGCTTTGTTTGCTAACCTTATACATATATTGCCTGTTGTTCAAACATCGTGTATTTCACTAAGCCTGACCATCTTTAGACTGCTCAAACACTTGTCACAGCTACTGCATTCAAAAGTAGTTTAGTAGAATTCTCCCATGGATTTCAGAATGGTGAAAAATTGCCATAGAAATGATCACTTTAAAACAAATTTTCCTATCTTTTGACTGGTGAAAACTCCTCAAGATGTCACCTATAACAGGAAGATAAAGACACTTATGAATAGATAAAAATACAGTAATGGCATCAGTCTGCAGTGCAAATCATCTGCAATCTGACTGTCAAACAGAAACATCCACCAGCAAATTCTGACCTGTCTTCAAATGTAAACTATAGAGATTCAAGAACAGAGGTGGGTAGTACTCATTACATTTACTTGAGAGACTTTTGAAAGAGACTGTACTTTTCAGAGTAGTCTAGCAGCATACTTATACTCCTATTTAATCCGTGTGTCATTTGTTCATTCGTTTTTAAAAATAAAACCAAAATTAAGATAGCAAAAAAAATAACTGTTTTCGTCATAATTTGTCTCCAAAACCAAAATGAAAAAACGGATAATGTTTTTTTCAATTTTCGATTTTGTGTTTAAATGAATAATGGTAAAAACAGATAACAGCTGTTTCCCGTTTACGTGATTTAAACTGCGATGCCATACTTTGCACCGCATACGGACTGATCCAGGACTGAACCAGGACTGAACCACGACTAAACCGTTTTTCAGTCCCGGTCTGATCCCAGTCTCAGTCCCAGTCTCAATCACAGCCTGGTCCTGGTCTGGTCCCGGCCTCAGTCCTGGTCTTGTCCCAATCTCAGTACTGGTCTCAGTCCTGGTCCTGTTCCCGGTCTCAGTCCCAGTCTCAATCACAGCCTGGTCTTAGTCTGGTCCTGGCTTCAGTCCTGGTCTTGTCCCAGTCTCAGTCCCGGTCTCAGTCCCGGTCTGGTCCCGGTCTCAGTCCCAGTCTCAATCACAGTCAGGTCCTGGTCAGGTCCCGGCCTCAGTCCTGGTCTTGTCCCAGTCTCAGTCCTGGTCTCAGTCCTGGTCTTGTTCCCGGTCTCAATCCAAGTCTCAGTCCTGGTCAAGTTCCCAGTCTCAGTCCCGGTCAGTCCCGGTCTCAGTCCCAGTCTCAATCACAGTCAGGTCCTGGTCTGGTCCCGGCCTCAGTCCTGGTCTCAGTCCTGGTCTCAGTCCTGGTCCGGTCCCGGTTTCAGTCCCGGTCTCAATCCTGGTCCTGTTCCTGGTCTCAGTCCTGATCTGGTCCCAGTCCCGGGCTCAGGCTCGGTCTCAGTCCTGGTCCTGGTCCCGGGCTCAGCCTTCCGGTCTGGCTCCAGCCTGGTCGGACCTGGTTCAGTCCTGGTTCAGTCCTGGTTCAGTCCGTATGCAGTGCAAAGTCATGGAAACAGGAAACGCCCATCATCTGTTTTTTTCCATTATTCATTTAAACACAAAATCGAAAACTGAAAAAACAAATTGTCTGTTTTTTCATTTGGGTTTTGGAGACAAATAATGAAGAAAATAGTTGTTTTTTTCATTTTCTTATTTTTGGTTTTATATTGAAAAACAAATGAACAAATGATACACTGATTCTATTTGAGTAATTCTTTTATTGATTTTATTTATCTTACGTCTACAAGTGACAAAAGCTTTATGTCGACAATATGAACTGATTTCAACATTTGTGTTTCTTGTACCACTCCCTCAGATCTGATATAGTTTAGGTCTCATTTTTGTGTGTCTTGTGAAAATACCAGATTTTGTGCATCGTTTAATTAATATCTTGTCCTTCCAATAGCATTCACTTTAAATTATAAATCAGGTGATGTTACTTGCGTAGGAATTTCCCAAATACTCTCTTTACTCTTACTTGAATCATTTCTTGGACCACGACTTTATCCTTGTACTTGAGTAATATTATTTTGAAGTAGCTTTACTCTACCCACCTCTGCTCAAATTAAAACTGGAGATTCCAAAACACAGCACAACATATTCCCGCACAGAGCCTCTCTCCTTTTTAAAATGTTATAACAGTTTCACTTGAGACTAACTCTTAATCCGTTCTCTCTGACTTTGTGCAGTAATTAAAAGCAGAGGACGTTCTTTTCGCTGGCCGCACACGAACAAGACACCGGGTTAATTACCTTGTAGAGTTTTTTTTTCCTTCTTCTGTTTTTTTTTTTTTTTTTTTTTTTTCAGTTGAGAGCCGGCGTTTG